GCTTGCAGTGATACTGGGTGACTTCTGTACCAACAAATGAGGAAGGCTGATAAAACAATTTCTAGACAAAATGCATCATAACCATATACAAGCTTAGAAAGACAAAAACACTTACTGAATCTGTAATCTAGGCAACTGAACATGCCATATTTTTGTATTGGTTATAGATAAATCTATTAAATAGTGTAAAGCTAAACTACATCAGTGTATGAATTCAGAACAGGGTGATAGTATATATATATATGTGTGTATATATATATATATATATATATATATATGTATGTATGTATGTATGTATATATATATATATATATATATATATATATATATATATATATATATATATATATATATATATATATGGCTGTTGTCAGAACAAAACCTCATATCTCCAAAATGGTAATTTTACAGGAGAAAGAAAAAACCTACTTTACTTTTAATGTAAGTCAATGAAACCAGCCTTTTTTCCAAGTAATTTTGGGCCGTTTCTTTTAGTCCATTCATCTTGAAATTTATACACAGTATAAAGGACAACAGGCATTTTCAAATTATGTCAAAAACTGAAAAACGTCAAAAACGGACATATGAGGTTTTGTTCCGACAGCAGCGATTGTCATTCCTCAATATAACTTGCATACATTGAATTGATATGTCAGTCTTCAGGCCCCAATATACAACAGCAGCACTATATAAAGTGCGCATACACGACAGTGTGAAATGAGTGCAGAATATACAGTAAACACACCAGAAAATAAATGTACAAAACAATAAATACATAAGACAATAAATACTAGACAGAACAACAAAACTGTGTATATGAACAGGCATCATATTTATGTATATACACATACATATTTACGCATAGATTGGCTTCAAATCAGCATGCGAGTATGAAGGAACTAATGCAAACACTGTCACTGCAAACTGCGCAGAAAAATTGAGGTCTCATAGGTGTGCAGGTGTGCAGTGGTGCTAAAGTGGTGTGGTGGACGGTGGAAAGGGCCTAGATTAGTGGATGTTGGGGGCATCAGTGCATTCAATAATCGTACCACGTCAGGGAAGAAGCTGTTACAGAGTCCGGAGGCAGAAGAACGGATGATCTGGTACTTTCTGCCAGATGAGTTTAGGGTGGGGATGGGAGGGGTTGTCTACAATGCTGGCGGCCTTGCAGATGCAGTGTTTGTAGTAGGAGGTGTTGATGGTGGGTAAAGACACCAGAATGATCTTCTCAGCTCTCCTCACAATCCACTTTAGGGTCCTCCAGTCTGAGATGGTAGGATGTAGTGGGGATGGAAGGTGGGGAGGTTTGCTCTCTTCATCCTTTGCAGGATCTGAAGTTGCTGCAGGGCTTGCTCTTGGCGAGGCAGGTGGTGCTGAGGGTCCAGGTGAGGTCATCTGTGATGTGCACACCAAGGAACTTGGAACTTGTGACTCTTTCAACAGTTAAACCACTGATGTGCAGTGGAGAGTGACCACCGCGAATCCCCCTGAGGTCAACAATCATTTCTTTGGTCTTATCAGTGTTAACAGAGTGTTGTCTCTGCACCAGACTGCAAGCCACTCCACCTCCTCCCTTTATGCTGACTCATCATTATTATTGCTGATAAGGCCCACTGTGGTTTGAGCTATGCTGAGCTGTACTGTTTATTTCCTGAATGTAACATATTGGGAACATAAAATGTGGCATGTGCAAAACAGTACATACACACTACACAGACAAAAGTATTAGGTCTCCTAATGACTGAGTTCAGGTGTTTCAGCCACAATCATTGTTAACATGTGGGTAAAATTAAGCACATAGCCTTGCAGTCTCCAACACTGGCAGTAGAGGGTCGCACTGAAGAGCTCAGTGTGTTGTGCTGGTATGAGTGGATCAGACACAGCAGTGCTGCTGGAGTTTTTAAACACTGTGTCCACTCACTGTCCACTCTATTAGACACTCCTACCTTGTCAGTCCCACCTTGTAGATGTAAAGTTAGAGACGATAGCTCATCTGCTGCTGCACAGTTTGTGTTGGTCATCCTCTAGTCCTTCATCAGTGGTCACAGGACGCTGTTGGCTGGATATTTTTGGTTGGTGGACTATTCTCAGTCCAGCAGTGACACTGAGGTGTTTAAAAACTCCAGCAGCACTGCTGTGTCTGATCCACTCAGACCAGTACAACACACACTAACACACCACCACCACGTCAGTGTTACTGCAGTGCTGAGAATGATCCCACCACCCAAATAGTACCTGCTCTGTGAGGGTCCATGGGGGTCCTGACCACTGAAGAACAGGGTAAAAGGGGGCTAACAAAGTATCAGAGAAACAGATGGACTACAGTCTGTAACTGTAGAACTACAAAGTGCACCTATATAGTAAGTGGAACTGATAAAATGGACAATGAGCATAGAAACAAGGAGGTGGTCATAATGTTATGCCTGATCAGTGTGAGTGTTGCTTAAAGTGACTTACAAGTAGCTGGTTGGTTATCATATTTCTAAGCTACAGTCAAAAGTTAAGGCAAAACTCATTTTTTATATATATATAAATTCACCCCAGCAGCCAAACTTATGCTTATTCAAATGACTGTACTTCCTCTGTTTGATTATGGTGACATCACTTATAGATTTGCATCTAAAATTTTGCTTCAAAAGCTTGACCCTCTCTATCATTCTGCTATATGGTTTGCTACAAATGCCCTTTTCAAAAAGCATCACTGTGCTCTTTATTCAGAGGGTAAATGGCCTTCTTTGACTGCTCAACGCAAAATCAACTGGTTTACACTCATCTATAAAACTCCACTTGGACTTTCACCCCCTTATTTATGTGAGCTACTGCAACCTAAAGCTGCCACATATAACAGCAGTTCATCTATGTATATTAAATATGCCTAAACCCAGCACTGTCCTCAGCTCTTCATCATTTCAGTTTGCTGCTGCTAAGGCCTGGAACAAGCTACACAAAACACTAAAACAATGGAAGAACCCTTTTGGGTGCTATATAGAACCCTTTTCAAGACTTTTCTACATAGAACCATCTACAGCACATTCTTAAGTGCCCTTTCATGATGCAAAGAACCCTTTAATCATGCAAAGGGTTCTTTGAATGTTCATGGTTGTTTATAGAACCATTTTCTGTACTAAAGAACCCTTGAAGAACCATCAGTAAAATGTTATTGGAATTACAAAAGAGTTTGTGTGATGTGGTCAGAGGAGAAAAAACTGAACTTTTTGATCGTGCACATTATTGTCATGTTTGGCGTAAAAACGGACAGCACACAATGAAAAGCACCTGTCAAACACGCTGGTGGATCATTGATGCTTTGGGGCTGTTTTGATGTTGGTGGTTCGGGGGCTCTTGTGAAAATGAATAGTGTAAAGAATTCCACTAAGCTTGATGGTGTAACCCAAAATCTCTCTGCCTTTGCCAGAAACCTGAAACTTGGCCATGGATGGACCTTTCAGCAAGATAATGACCCCAAACACACATCAAAATCCAAATGGAAATGGTTGCAGGAACACAAAATCAAAGTTTTGTGATGGCCCTCTCAGTCTCCAGATTTGAAAGCAATTGAAAACCCCACCCCCTGCGATGGACTGGTGACCTGTCCAGGGTGTTTCTTGTCTTCTGCTCAGTGACCACTGGGATAGGTTCTGGAAATGTTCTGCATGGAGGAGTGGTCCAAGATCCCTCAACAAGAATTCTCCAACCTTAAGCATTACAGAAAGTGTCTCAATGCTGTTATTCTCACAAGAAAAGCCTTCACCAAATATTAATAATGTGGTGCTAACATATGATTTTTATTATGATTTATGAGTTTTCAAAGTTTTTTTGTCCAAAACATAGCAGGAAAAAAACATGCAGCTTACCCATTAGATTAAGCTCAAAATGTCACTTATCGCATGTGTGGTTTATGAAATGTATTGATTTTAGCTCATTTTCAATAAGTCTGGAGTTGACTGTAGGTAGCATAGTGGGTTACACTTCACTGTCATTGGGTCAGTCCCCCCTCTTGTCACTGGGGTGGGACCCTCAAGGCTCCAACTCAGTACCTTTAGTCAGGGAACATAACTGAACCATAATCCACTGAAATGATATGTTCTAAGCTACAAATACGAACTTTTCACCTGGAAAAATTTATTTAAGATTCACAATCAGACCTTAAAACCACTGTTGTACCTTTGAGGGAACATTTACATTGTTTGTATCTTGATGAACGAAAAATGTACCTGAACAGAACCTTTATTTCTAACAGTGTATGAACTTGTAAACTGGTGTTTGGGGTTCAAGTCCCTGCTTAGGTAGTAAGGCTAGTATTTTGGCTGACTTGGGAAAAAACTCTGAACGCTACATTTGGTTTCCTCTTACACTTTTGAATTCACGTTCATGTTTTTCCGTTTGAGTCCCTGTCCACAAATGTCTGTGCACAGGCCTGTTTAGCATTATTGACACTCAACGATTGAAGCTGACAGCCCCTTAAAGTTGTCACAAAACGGTTGTTTCCACCTGCGTCTGAGCCATTGTCGAGTAGCTAGACGGTTCAGGTAAAGTGCATTTCCCCCTTTGTAATGGACTCAATGTTCCCTTTGTGTGCAGCTCTGGTGCATTAGTTTTGTCTTGAGGCACTCTCAGTCCAGCCTCTCTCTAATAACTTGGGTGGAAAATGCAAAGCTAATGGCCAGCGACGACTCCTTTTTGTGTGCCTGAATTGAGGGAAGCCTGTGGTCAGATGGGACAGATACAGATCAGGAGTCGCAGCGGTTTTGCCGACCGCAGTAAAAAGCCCGAGCACGATGCCATCAGTGCCTGAGGTCGGAGAAACTTGAGTGCTCTCAGGTGGGCTGCCGTTCAGGCAGAAGACCACTATCTCCATCTGTGGAGATAAGGCTAAGAGACAGGGAGGCTGCAGCTGGCCTTGGGCAGACGCATAAAGGCTAATTTGGCCAACCCCGCTAATTCGGCTAAACCTGCGCAGGTATAAATGCCGTCTCGGTGTCCAGACAAAGGAGAGCGAGATGGAAGGAGAGGACAGAGGAGAGAAAGCGATTTCCGCCATGGAGGCCTGCTACCAAGGCTTCGACCCAGCAGCGTACTTGCAGTATAACTACACTCCGCCGCGAGCTGACTTCACCAGGAGCGACAGCATCGTGCCGTGGAAGCTCAAGTGCCTTCACGAAGCTCTCTCTGAGGGTGAGCGCCTTTTTTCTGCTTCTTCTCTTTGTACTGGTCAGATTCAGAGCTGTAACCAGGATCATACTGCAATATATTTTCTACAGCAGGTGCTAATTTCTCCTTTATGTTTTTCACCACAATATTCCGTTTTTTAACAGTAATGTATATGTACTGATTTCAGTAGTTAATTTCCCTGCATTCTTCCATAAATTTAAAATATGACAGTAGTTTCATATTTACTGAATTTAACTTATTCAGTTTTTTTTTTACAATTTTTTTCCCTATTTATTTCAAGGTGAAAATATATGTTAAAGCCCATCTATTCAATTCTATACTATTCTATTACTGTGTTAGCATTAACATGCACTAATAAACACTCACATTTACACCAACCGGCCACTTTTTACAGACTGTAGTCCATCCATTTCTCTGCATACTTTGTTACCCTGTTCTTCAGTGGTCAGGATCCCCATTGACCCTCACAGAACAGGTATTATTTGGGTCATAACACTGACGTGGTGGTGGTGGTTAGTGTGTGTTGTGCTGGTGCAAGTGGATCAGACACAGCAGTGCTGCTGGAGTTTTTAAACACCTCAGTGTCGCTGCTGGACTGAGAACCAAAAACATCCAGCCAACAGCGTCCTGTGGGCAGCGTCCTGTGACCACTGATGAAGGACTAGAGGATGACCGACACAAACTGTGCAGCAGCAGATGAGCTATCGTCTCTGACTTTACATCTACAAGTTGGACTGACAAGGTAGGAGTGTTTAATAGAGTGGACAGTGAGTGGACACAGTGTTTAAAAACTCCAGCAGCTCTTCTGTGTCTGTTCCACTCAGCGTGAGGCTAGTAGCAGGTCTGGTGATTAGTGTTCTCCTCCGAGCGTGTTTGGCTGTCCAATGACGCTGCATTTGAGGCAGTTTGAAAAGATGTGGTGGCGCTTCACAGCCTGTGCTAGCCTTCACCCACTTAGTCCTGGTGGTATTGTGTGACTGGGGGAGTCCCCAACTAGTGGGTGGATTTAGATGCAACTAAATTGAGGAGAAATTGGGAAAAATAAAATAATAAAAATATTCCCACTTTGTGCCTTCACTCCAGATGGGATGAAAGGAGAGGTTCTGGTGGACGTGGGTTCCGGTCCGACTCTCTACCAGGTGATGAGCGGCTGCGAGCACTTCGATCAGGGTCATTCTGTCTGACTTCCTGGAGGTGAACCGAAAGGAGCTCCGGGGTTGGCTGCAGGATGGCAAGAGCAGCCTGGACTGGACACCTTACTTGAAGTTTGTGTGCGAGCTGGAGGGACGAAGGTGTGACGCTTGAACTACCTTTTTTTTAAGATTTGCTAAATTCAACACATTCAACAAAATAACTTTACAAGTGTTTGAGATCAACATGCTTCAGTTATTCTTTGTTTATGCTGTGTTTGTGTTAATTTTAATTAGTTGTTTGCTTTAACAGCGGTTGCTGTACACTCTTTAAAAAGTGTACAGCAACTTAAGAGTTCTTTAGTAAAGAAAATGGCTCTGTAAAGAATATGCTGTAGAAGGTTCTATATAGAACCTTTTTGAAAAGGGTTCTATATTTCATCCATAAGAATTCTTCTATTGTTACAAGCTTAATATCGTAACAATAGAAGGACCTTTTGGGTGCTTTTCAAAACCTTTTCAAAAAGGTTCTATATAGAACCATCTACTGTGCATTCTCCATGAATCTGAAGAACCGTTTCATGATGCAAACAACTGTTTAATAATGCAAAGAGTTCTTTGAGAGTTCATTGATCTTTGTAGTTCATTTTCTGGACTAAAGAACCTTTAAAGAACCATTGTTTTTGAAAGTGTAGTATTCCAGGTTTATGCAAGGATGTTGTTCGTTAGTTTCTATGGTATTTTGAATGTTTGCAAGGTTGCAATGCAGTTGCTATGGTATTGCAAGTGGTTGCTATGGTGCTGCCAGGTGATTACTAGGGTGTTGCTAGGTGGTTGCTAAGGTGTTCCAGGCAGTTGCTATGTTGTTGCTATGCTATTACTATGATATTCCAGCTGGTTGCTAGGTTGTTGCCAGATGGTTGTTAGATGGTTGCTAAGTCATTGTTATGGTATTTACAAGTGGTCACCGTTGTATTGTAGGTGGTTGCTAGGGTGTTTGGAAAGCAGTTGCTAGGATACAGTTGGGTGGTTTCTAGGATATTGTTAGATGATTTTTATGGTATTCCAGGTGATTACTAGGGTGTTGCTAGGCAGTTGCTTTGGTGTTCTAGGCAGTTGCTATGATGTCACTATGCAGTTGCTATTACATTCCAACTGGTTGCTAGGTTGTTTCTAGATGGCTGTCAGGACGGCTGCTAAGTTGTTGTCATGGTACTGACAAGTGGTTGCTGTTGTATTTTAGGTTGTTGCTAGAGTGTTGGAAAGCAGTTGCTAGGGTACTGTTAGGTGGTTGCTAGGGTATTCCAGGTGATTGCTAAGGTGTTACTAGGTAGTTGCAATAATGTCTGGCTGTAGTTAGGATGTTGTTAGGTGGTTACTATAATATCTCTCATGGTTGCAACAGCCATAATTTAATAGATAAGGAGGGGGTGAATTGTGACTTATTTAATTGTGAATTTTTTTCAGTACATAAAAAATGAAATGCAAGGAAAAAACAATAAGAATGAGCCTTTTAAGTGTCTTATTCTACTTGTTTTAAGTCCTTCAGCCTGGACAGAAAAAGCGAAGAGGCTTCGCTCAGTGGTGACCGATGTGCTGCCCATCAACGTCCACCAGCCCTGCCCCCTGCCATCTGGATCGCTGCCTAGCTCAGGTGCCGACTGTCTGGTGTCATCCTTCTGCCTGGAGAGCGTGAGCCCGGACCTGTCCTCCTTCACCCAGGCGCTGGGTCACCTGTCCAGTCTCCTCCGCTCGGGCGGTCACCTGCTGCTGATCGGAGCGCTGGGGGAAAGCTTTTATCTCGGGGCTCCGGGTCTGCGCATCCCGGTGGTGCCACTGGACGAGGCTCAGGTGTGCTCCAGTCTGAGAGTCAGTGGCTTCCATCTGCTGCAGCTCAGCATCTACCACCTACCACCAGACATGAGGGTCGGGGTGGACGACGTCACCGGAGTGTTTTTCGCCAAAGCCAGGAAACCGTAGTCACGATGAAAAGGGGCGGGGGGGGGTGGAGCAAACAAGGATCTTGGCATTTTTGACTTGTCTTTTATACAACAGTTATTTCTGACTGCACAATCTGATTGGCTGAAAAGCATTCTGATTACTTGTTATCTGATAACTGAGGAATGTAAGGTATCTAACTAGGATATAATAAGGTATTTTGTTAGGTATCAACAATGGCTACTTTAAGCTGCTGGAACTAGTTTTCTTCAGGGCTTGTTTGATCGACTTTTTCTTCACTTTGCAAAACTCTTATATAAAAGAAATAAAACACTTAACGTGCCAAGTGGTTCCTTCCAGCTGAAGCTCTTTCTGTGAAATGCTTTGAAAATTAATAAAGTAACTTTTATGTAAGTGTAAGATCTTCTCTGAATGTGCATCACACTTTACCTCACTGGTACAGCTTAGCTGGTAAAATACAGTTGAAATTTTAGGATGTGAGGAAAACACACATTATAGTAGCTAGTAAAATAAAAATGTAATTAAATTAGCAAATAACTAAGTAAATAAAATAAAGGTAATAGATAAATAACCAGGGTAAAGTATTTAAGCAGCTCTTTGTACACTGTTAGAAATAAAGGTTCTGTGCAGGTATATTTTTCATTCATCAAGGTACAAACAGTGTAAATGTTCCCTCAAAGGTCCAACAGTGGTTTTTAGGTCTGATTGTGAACCTTAAATAAGTTTTTCCTGGTGAAAAGTTCGTATTTGTACCTTTTCATAACTGAATGTTTTAAAACAGAACAGTAAAATAAAAGCCTGGAGACGAGACGGGGTGTGTGGAGTCAGTACAGCTTAGAACATATCATTTCAGTGGATTATGGTTCAGTTATGTTCCCTGACTAAAGGTACTGAGATGGACCTTTGAGGGTTCCACCCCAGTGACAGTTTAGTACCTTTTTTTCTGAGAGTGTATATTGTAAAGTTCATCACCACTTTTCTTTCTCTAGGTGTTATGTGTGAGCTGGTGGGGTCTATATGTTTGTTCATAAGAATGTTTACAGCAGCTTTGGACTTGTGGGTAATATGTGGCACCTTGTAGGAAGGTTGCTGAATTATGACTTCTCTCAGAAAAAGAAAATCGCTCGTTTATTCACCAACCACAACACTGTCAATTGCTTGTCTTAACAAGGACACAGAGTGTCACTGATGCAAAGCACTGCTCATATGAAGAATCAAAGCTACCAATGGCGCCCCCTTATGGAGAATTTCTAGACTGCTACACATGAGTGAATGAGTGAGAGGGATTTTTTAAAATTCTGTCGGTGTAGGTGGCGGTTAAAAAGAACAAAATGGTAACTTTAAAGGACTTTACTTTTAATGTAAGTCAATGGAACCAGACTTTTTTCAGAGTAATTTTGGGTTATTACTTTTAGTCCATTCAAACAAACTGTATGATAAAGCTAACTTCTGTTAGCACACCTATGTCATTCTAATAGTATGTTAGTGCGAACACCAATTCACGTGAAACATTTTTTGGCTGTTCTACATTAAACATGGACATTTGAAGCTTTTGAAAGACATTCCAACAGCCATTAACATATATTTCACCCAGGATTGGTTTTACAGTGACTCTTTCTGTAAAGTACCCTGACATGGAGCCGCTGCTGTTTTCCATTTCTAACTATCCAGAAGTTTATCGGTCCCTCCTGTTCAAATATAACTAATACTGGTTGATCCCAATGTAAATTCCTATTTAGTTTAATGGCTATTCTAACATGTAAGGTCTTCAGTTGAGCTTCTGAAGTCCTAACCAATGAGAGAGCTCTACCTTGTTTAAGCCAAAGTCAAAGTCATTGTCATTACTTCTCGTCACAGCTGTGGAAAACAATGTTGTTTTCTCCAGAACACAGTGCTACATTTAACACAGAACAGCAGCAGACAGACAATAAACACAATACTATAAATTATACAAACACTATACGATAAATTCTTCAAGTATCTCCACAATGATAACTTTACAGGAGAGGGCAAAAACGTTCTTTACTTTCAATGTAAGTTAATGTAAGGAGATTTCATTCAAAGCACTTTTAGAGCATTTCTACTGGTTCAATCATGACATTTTCACATAAAGCAAAGAACAGCTGCTGAGCTCAAATTATGCAGAAAACAAAAACTCGCAAAACATGGAGTTTTTTTTTAGGACAGCTACGATATATAATAACTATAGCTGTACAACCATTTACCACAGGTCAGTAGAGAAAACAGACCATCTGTTGGTCCATGGCTGCAATGACAGATCTGTGTGTATTGTTTAACAATAGTTTGTAATGCAATCAAAACTGCAGGCAATGTGCAGATTAAAGTGACTGTTCATACAAACTGAATGAAATTAAAGCTTCACTCTGAAGTGACTGAGTGTGGGACGTTAAAGTGCAGCAGATAAAGTTGTTTGGGAAATTTTTTTCATTATTTTGGGGGATGATTCGTCAGAACAGTGAGAATTAGATATAGCTGCGAGTTTAAGGTTTACAGTAGTGGAAGGAACATCCAGTTCTACTTTAGTGAGACAGCCACAGCCCGAAAATGATATGTGCTTAATCTTGAACAAAACCATTCTTAAAATGTCCATTGTGACTGTTTACGTGCTCCATGTTGAAATATTTATTGCAATTATTAATGCAGAGTTATGCAAGTGTAAAAATATGTTACAATTCAGTGACAAGAAGTCAGTAGAAATATACTCTAACCGGCCACTTCATTAAGTCCTTCTACTTGTTTCTACACTCATCGTTCATTTTATCAGCCTCACTTTTAATATAGTGTCACTCTGTAGTTCTACAATTACAGACTGTAGTTCATCTGTTTCTCTGCATACTTTGTTACCCTGTTCTTCAATGGTCAAGACCCCCACAGGACCCCCACAGAGCAGGTACTATTTGGGTGGTGGAACATTCTCAGCACTGCAGTAACACTGACGTGGTGGTGGTGTGTGTTAGGGTGTGTTGTGCTGGTGTGAGTGGATCAGACACATCAGTGCCGCTGGAGTTTTTGAAACACTGTGTCCACTCACTGTCCACTCTATTAGACACTCCTACCTTGTTGGTTCAACTTGTAGATGTAAAGTCAGAGACGATAGCTCATCTCCTGCTGCACAGTTTGTGTTGGTCACACACTAAAAAAATAAAAAATTGCAGGATTTTCTGGGTTTTCTGTAATTTTCTGTTAAAAATGTTTTACTTCTTTTTCCTGATGCAGAAAATTAACAGCTTTCGCTTTACTGGGAATTATAACAATGACAGGTATGTTTGCACTGCATATAAACTCTTAAAGCTCCCCAGCATTTTTATTCATATGCTTAAAGGAAAGATTTGAAGCATTACATGACATTTATTACACAAAGAAGATGAAAATAGACAATGCAGTATTTTGATTTGGCATCTGAGGCTGGAGATTTTCCTCTGCCAGTAGGGCTTCTTCATTAAGGACTAGAGGCTCTTGTAGAAGTAGTAGTGGTGTTCAAGGTGCTGCCACCTGCAAGTGAAGTATTAGAAGCGTAAGTGATTATAGTGGAAATGGATGATCTTGTTCATAAATTAACAGGTTTACTTCACCATGGAATAACAAGACAATTAATACTGTAGAAAAGGCATAAAAACGATTCAACTCCAAAAATCTCTATGAGAAAAGTACATATATGTAAAACTGTTCAGTGAATTTTTGAATATACTTTGAGGACTGTTGCTGTGTATTACGTAACACACTAGATGGCCAAAAGTATGTGGACACCCCTCCTAATGATTAACTTCAGGTGTTTCAGGCACACCCATTGCTAACAGGTGTATAAAATTTAGCACATAGTCTTGCAATTTTCATAGTTGGCTAGATCTGCCCTGGTCAACTGTAAGTGCTATTGTTGTGAAATAGAAGCATCTTGGAGCAACAACAGATCAGCCATGAAGCAGTAGACCACACAAACTCACAGGGCGGGATACCAAGTGCTGAAATGTGTGAAAGAGCAATGAATCAGCTTCTCTATCTGTCAGTCTGATGGATGAATCTGGGTTTGGTGGACGCCAGGAGAACATTACCTACCGGAATGCACAGTGCCAACAGTAAAGTTTGGTGGAGGAGGGATGATGGGCTGGGGCTGTTTTCCAGGATTTGGGCGCCTTAGTTCCAGTGAAGGGTGGTGTTGATGCCACAGCTCACAAAGACAATTTACACAATTATATGCTTCCAGCTTTGTGGCAGCAGTTTGGGGAAGAGCCTTTCCTGTTCCAGCATTACTGAGCCCCTGTGCACACAGCAAAGCCCATAAAGATGTGGTTTAACAAGTTTGGTGTGAAGGAACTCCAGTGGCCTGCAGAGCCCATATTAATGCCCATGGTTTTGGAATGGGATATCCAACAATCTCCAATAGGTGTGCTGGTCAGATGTCCACATACCTTTGGCCAAATATTGTGCATATGACAAAAACTATACTTGACCGGAAATGAAACATTCCAATGCTGTTGCAATTCATATTTAGCAACTTAGGAAAGCTGTTTTCTTACTGATCTTGCTTCTTGGTGTTGTAGCGGTTGTCCTACTTGTAGTAGTTGTGGTTGCAGTGCTTCCACCTGAGAATACAGTATTACTAGCATAAGTAAGGCTGCGAAGATGGATCAACTTAAGAATCACATAATTACAGTACTGTGATCTTAGACCACCCATTTATTTATTCAGTTTCCAGTAATGAACATTAATATGTATAAACATATGTTATTACATCTTGCAGGACCCTCTAGATATATAGATATATACAGTCGTTGGCTTTGTCACAATATATATATATATATATATATATATATATATATATATATATGTATTAGTGACAAAGCCAACAACTGTTGAAATAGAAATAGAAATATGAAATAAACATTTCATATTTACAAACGTTTGCTGAAGGTCTTTTCTTACCAGCAGTGCTTCTTGATGTAGTGGTGGAGGTGGTACTCGTAGGAACAGTAGTTGTGGTTCTTGTAGTAGTTGTAGTTGTGCTGACACCTGTAAACAAAGTAATGCTTGCATAAGCTGATCATCAGACAGATACAGGATGTGATCTCTGGATCATCAAGGCTTGTTCCCAGAGGTTTAACAATTTCAACTGGGGATGCATCAGTACCGATACTGGTGTTGGGTATTGGACCAATATCATGCTTAATTACTTGTACTCACACTCATAAAAATGCACCGATACCAACATCCAATACCAGATAGTGTGTGATGTAAGCCGAGTGTGCGCTGGCATGCTACTGAACAAACAACTGAAGCTGGCAGTGAAGGAGATTCACACCGAGAAGCGTTACTGTGTTACTGACACAGTGGAGGTCGGACACAAGCATCACTTTAAACATTCTTCCTTGGCAAATTCCCACCGGATCTATACTGTACGATTTTCTGATCTTCGCCTGTTTTTAAAGGTGCCATAGAATAGAAAACTGTATTTACACTGGCATAGTTGAATAAGGAGATCTCAGTATATGAAACTGACATACTGTGAACCTCAGACACTGTCGTCTCCTTCTTCTAATACAAATCCTGCATTTGCAAAAAGAGGCCAGTAAAATGGGCCAATTCCAAAATCCGCTACGTAACAGTCTCGACTCATTAATATTTACGCCCTTAAAATTCACATACAACAGCAGACAATGCCAAGAAAATGGCCGACTGTGTGCAGAAATGTACCATTCCAGGCTGTGAAGGGGATGTCGCCACTTTCTATACTCTTTCAAAGGAACCTACAACTTTCTTTCTGAAGGCTCAACCAGGTCAACGGGCATGGCTGATGTTCATCTTTAAACAAGGCTCAAGTCGGCTTCCTATTCACCAGCTTCTTAATCGAACGTTCCGTTCCACCTTAAATGCCGCAGCTTATACATGTGCCAGAATGTAACTGCGGCACCATTTAAGGTGGAACTGAAAATTCTCAAAACAGGCTGGCAAAAAGGAAGCCGACATCAGCTCCCACATCTCTAACAGGATCCAAGTTTCTGCACATTTCACTCTGGTCAGTTTCTCAAAGCTTGGACAGTATCGAGCAGCTTCGTTCAGTGTTTTGACTCTGAAGAGACGGAGACACAGTTCCACCTTTATTAGCATCACAACCCCAACAACTGCCTGTGAGCAGCCATGCTGTGAGATTTTATCCACTTTTAGACAGTTGAAGCAGATCATCTTAAACCGAAAGTTTCGTAGTGATAACAGCTTTCATTTACTTTCTGTTGTTGTCCAGATTAAACGTGAGTAGCAAGTGAGTAGCTAGTATAGGTAGCATTAGCTACTAGCAAGCTCCAAGTAACTAGCACAGCTAACTAAACAGTATGAGGACCAGCTTATTTACGCAGAGGTTCATTTTATGTTCCTGCCTGTGTTTATTTCCACATGTTGCTTCTGTGTGAGCCATCGCGGTGCCTAGCTGTAAACCAGCCAATCAGAGCAGAGCTCATCAGATTATTCATGAGCCCCATTTCATTCTAGGCCCAAATCATAGGGTTGGAAATGGGCAAGTACAACCGCATCTGGACATTTTTCACCCTGACTACATTCACATACCTTCTATGTAGACGTTGACATTAAAACATAAGATTTAATACAATATTTACAATATAACATACGACATACAAAGTCAGCAGATTTGAAATGAAGAGTAAAAGTGTGTAGTTTCTTTGTAATAAGCAACATATTCTATTCGGTGTCAAGCCTTGACAAGACTCACAACTCCTTAACTATTTCTTTTTGTTTATTTCTTTCGAAGGCCTGCTATCGAGTATCCCATGACATCAGTGACACGGCCAACATTTGAGTGGAAATTAAAATATTGCTGCTATCAGAAGGAAACCTTGTATCTCCATTGTATCTCCTTGTATCTCAATGCCTGTTGTCCTTTACACTGTGTGTAAATTTCATGATGAATGGACCAAAAGAAACAGCCCAAAATGACTTGGAAAGACGTCTGGTTCCATTGACTTACATTAAAATTAAAGTGCGTTGTCTTCTTCTGCTGTAAAGTTACCATTTTGGTGATACAAGATTTTCTTTCGACAACAATAATATACAGATACATGACACATACACAGACATGACATGATGACCTGGGGTAAGAAGCCCCGCGGTGAAAAGCCTCAATCTGCCATTGAAGTTTCTCAGCATGTGTAAGTTAGTCGATAATTATTGAAAAATTGTGTTATAATGAAACTACAACACATTTTATATGTATGTGTGTTTGAAATGATGTCTATGACATCAGTGACATCTGAGTAGAAAGAAAAATAAATATCTAGAACTTTAGCTGGAGTTCTTTTCTTACCAGGAGGGCTTCTTGATGAAGTGGGGGAGGATGTAGGAACTGTAGTGATTGTGGTGCTGATACCTGAAAATAATAAAAAGTTATCTTGAACTTCATTCGTGATAAGAGGTTTCATGTTCTTGTTGGTGGATCACCTCATTGAAAAGATTGAACGGTGAGTTTTATTGCATATCAATAAAATAAATGGATACACTTTTCTTCAATGGTTCTTTAGTACAGAGAATGGTCCTTTATAGAACCATGAGTTCTATATACAACCATTTCATGCTTGAATGTGATGTCAAGTTTGCAACAATAGAAAAACCATTTTTGGTGGTATATAAAAGCACTTTATACCATTTTATAGAACCATATTCAACACATTCTCCATCAATCTGAAGAACAATTTCACCTGGCAAAGAACTATTTAAGCATACAAGTGGTTCTACACTCTTAAAAAAGATGGTTCCTAAAGGGTTCTTTAGTAAAGAGAATGGTTCTATGTAGAACTATGAATGCTTTGTATGATTAAAGGGTTCTTTGCATCATGAAAGGGTTCTTCAGATTGATGGAGAATGTGCTGTAGATGGTGCTATATAGAACTTCTTTGAAAATGGTTCTACATAGCACCAAAAAGGGTTCTTCTATTGTTACAAGCTTGACATCGTCACAATAGTAGAATCCTTTTTGGTGCTATATAGAACCCTTGTAAAAAACCTCAGATCTTACTGTCTTACTGTCTTACTTTGTTTTTTCCATCAGTCAGCTTCATCAGATATAACAGCTCCCTTTTGCCCATTTTATTAACATGTTATAACTGTCTATTAATGATTTTAGGGGGTTTACAACCAAATTATTAACCATTAATAAACTAAGACAAGTATAGTGATATAGTAGAGGACCGCACAGGCTTGATTATTAATGTCTGCACCCGCACACTTCAACTACATATCATGTCTGCCTGCACCCACAAAATCTAATGTCATTCTTTATGGAGCTGCTTTGTGCGCAGGGGCTCAATCAAGCTGGAACAGGAAAGGCTCTTCCCCAAACTTTTTGCTGCAAAATATCTTTATAAACGGTAGCATTAACATCACCCTTCACTGGAACTGAGGGGCCCAAATCCTGAAAAACAGCCCCAGCCTATTATCCCTCCTCCACCAAACTTTACTGTTGGGACTATGTATTCCGGTAGGTAACGTTATCCTGGCATCCACCCAACCCAGACTCATCCATCAGACTGATAGATAGTGAAGTGTGATTCATCACTCCAGAGAACATGTTTCCACTGCTCCAGAGTCCAGTGGCGGCTATCAGAAGTACACAATGAGATTTTTTTTTTTGAGTCTTGATAAGTGCTTGTTGCACTGTTGTGTTACATCGCTGACGTTGACATCATTTTACTGGAAATTGAAACACGCAATGCAACATTTTATGTATAAAAAACTGAAGTTTCTGTCTTACCAGTAGTGCTCCTTGAATTAGCAGTGGAGATTGTACTTGTAGGAACCATGGTTGATGTTACGGGGCTGACACCTGAACAAAGTATTAGGAACGTAATTGAAAAAATATTCTATAATTCACAGATTAAAAGTGGTTTCTTGTGTAAAATTAATAACACGTGTGATCTCAAAAGTCATTCTATATTATGAAAAAATCAGCACTTATTTTAAACAAGCCAGCTATGAAGTGAAGTTTCACTGTAATGAGGAATCTGTTTTATTTGTTTATCAAGCATTGATAAATAAGTCCGTAAAGACTCACAGCTCCTCAGCTACAGTCTTAATATGTGTACAGCACTGTTCCTGTGCATGTCATGACATTATGAAATAAAAATATCCATTGCAAAAGCATTATATATTTGCTAATTGAAGGTCCTACCAGTAGTGCTTCTTGATATAATGGCGAAGGCCGTACTTGTAGAAGCAGTGGTCGATGTTACAGTGCTGACACCTGAAAAAATTATATTACTGTTAATATTAGTGTTATTATTCCACTGATGTCGGCTATCAGAAGTAAGCAAACTGTTTTATTTAATGTAAAGTTTAAATAAATGTGTTTCTAATGGCTCAAAAGTTATTTTTTAATGCTTGATGGACCGTTACCTGACGTCAATGAAAATGATATAATTTTCCTGGAAATTGGAATAAACAGTGCAATAAGATTTCTTGTTTTGGAAATTGAAGTTGGAGTTTCTGTCTTACCAGTGGTGCTTCTTGATCCAGTGGTGGAGGTTGTGCTTGTAGGAACAGTGGTTACGGAGCTGACACCTAAAAAATCATGGAATCATGAAAGATGTGTAGTTCGCTCAGAAGTTGATTTTTATATGTTTGATGGACTTTTACTTGACAACAATGAAAATTTTATAATTTTACTGGAAATTGAAATATACATTGCAATAATAATTCAAGTTTGGAAATTGAAGTTGGAGTTTCTCTCCTACCTGTGGTGCTTCTTGATCCAGTGGTGGAGGTTGTGCTTGTTGGAACAGTGGTGGATGGTACGGAGCTGACACCTGAGTAAATTATCAGAAGCGTATTGATCATTAGAGCACTTTATTATAAGGACAGTTATAATAACGGAGGTGTCAAAACAGGACAGATAGGAGTGTTTATGGACTAAAATCTCCTGTTCTAGTGTTTTGGAGTGTTTATTGATGTTGTTTGTGGACTAATATCTCCTGTTAGAGACAATTAGAGAGATGTGTATGTTATTATGCCATTGATGTCAGTTATTAGAAGTAAAGTTTTGAGAAGAAACTTTCTAAAAACCGAAAACTTTTAATTAAAAATATCATCTTTTAATATGTTTGATGGATTATTATATGACATCAATGACATAACAATTTCTGCCCTACCAGTAGTGCTCCTTGATCCAGTGGTGGAGGTCATGCTTGTGCGAACATTAGTTGAGGTTATGGAGCTGACACCTAAAAAAAAAATCAACAAAAAGCGTAAGAAAAAAAAATGTGTAGTTAACTTAAAAGCTGAATTTTTAATATGTTTGAATGACTTTTGCATGACGTCAACGAAAACTATATCATTTTACTGGATGTTCAAAAATACATTGCAATAATATTTCGTATTTGGAAACTGAAGTTGATTTTCTGTCCTACCAGTGGTGCTTCTTGATCCAGCTGGGGAGGTTGTACTTGTAGGCGCAGTAGTTGATGTTACGGTGCTGACACCTGACAATAAAAAATATTCATGAGAATATTATATATTGTTGACAGATGACAACACTTTATTTAGAAAACTGTAGCTTTGTACTGAAGATTGAGTTTCATTGCATACAACAAATTAACAGATGTTTAATGGTTTAATGAGGGTTACTGAACATTACATGACAGAACTTAGAAAGATACGACTTCACTGTACCAGAAAATATACAAAGCAAAAACATTTGATAATCAATAACGTATATGAGAGCTGTTTTCCTACCAGCAGTGCTCCTTGAATTAGCCCTGGAGGTCGTGCTTGTAGGAACCGTAGTTGAGGTTACGGAGCTGATACCTAAAACCATCACCAAAAGCATTTTTGAATATGTTTGATGGACTATTTCCTGACAACATAGAAAATTATATAATCACAAGGGAAAATGAAATACACATTGCAATAAAAATTTATGTTTGGAAACTGGAGTTTCTGTTCTACCAGTGGTGCTTCTTGATCCAGCCATGGAGGCTGTGCTTCTAGGAACAGTGGTCGATGTTACGGTGCTGACACCTAAAAATTTATTAGGAACATATTGGCCATAAGAGCATTTGCCAAACTTTATTATAAAGATAGTTTGACATGTATTTGCTGAGCATCATAACATAAATGTTTCAAAGGGAGGCATCAATACAGGATGGACAGGGGTGTTTATGGACTAATATCTCCTCTTTTAGTGTTTAGGAGTGTTCAGTGAGGTTGTCCTACCAGTAGTGCTTCTTGAACCAGTGGTGGAGGTTGTAGGAGCCATAGTTGAGGTTACGGTGCTGACACCTAAGAAAAAACTGTATTATTATCATAAAGATAATGAGACAGATGACTAGTGTTATTATTCCGCTAATGACAGAGATCAGAAGTAAGAAATGTGTTGCATTCAGTATGAAGTTTTTAGAAGAATATTTCTATAGAATTTAAAACTCCTCGATTAATTTCTCATGGATTGTTAGATAATGTCAACATACATTACATTCCTACCTGCCGTGCTTTTCGATCCAGTGGTGGAGGTTGTGCTTGTAGGAACAGCGGTCGATGTTACGGTGCTGACACCTAAATAATTCATTAGGAACATATTTGCCATTAGACTATTTGCTGACACTTTATTATAAAGATAGTTTGACATCTATTCACTGGACTTTATAACTGACTAATCATTAACCTCTGTTTCAAACTGAGGCATCGAAACAGGATGGACAGGAGTGTTTATGGACTAATATCTCCTATTCTAGTGTATATCAGTGTATATTGATATTGTTTATAGATTAATTTCTCCTAGTGTTTAGGAGTGTTTGTTGATGTTGTCCTACCAGTAGTGCTTCTTGATCCAGCGATGGAGGTTGTGCTTGGAGGAGCTGTTGCAGCCCTGACACCTGACAATAGAAAGCATTTATGGGAATATTATACATTACTGAAAGATATTAACATTTTGCTCAGAAATTTGTAGCTTTGCCTGAAGCTGAAATGTACTGAACATTGAGTTTCATTGCATATAACAAATAACAGATGTTTAATGGTTTAATGAGGATTACTGAACATTACATTACAGAACTTATTAAGATACGACTTCACTGCACCTGAAAATATACAAAGCAAAAACATTCGATATTCGACAACAAATGTGAGGCCATTTTCCTACCAGCAGTGCTCCTTGAACTAGCGGTGGCAGTTGCGCCTGTAGGAGCAGTAGTTGAAGTTACGGAGCTGACACCTAAAAAAATAATCAAGGGGAATTATACATTGTAATAATTCATGTTTAGAAACTGAAGTTGGAGTTTCTGTCCTACCGGTGGTGCTTCTTGATCCAGCTGTGGAGGTTGTGCTTGTAAGAACAGTGGTTGAAGTTATGGAGCTGACACCTGGAAAAATTATTGGGAACATATTGGCTATTAGGGCATTTACTGACACTTTATTACAACAATAGTTAGATATCTATTCAATGAACCTCATAACTGACTAACCATGAACTTCCGTCCTAAATGGAGGCATTAAGACAGGATGGACAGGAGTGTTTATGGACTAATATCTCATATTCTCGTGTATATCAGTGTTTACTGATGTTGTTTATAGATTAACATCTCCTTTTCTAGTGTTTAGGAGTGTTCAGTGAGGTTGTCCTACCAGTAGTGCTTCTTGATCCAGTGGTGGAGATTGTAGGAGCTGTAGTTGAGGTTACGGTGCTGACACCTAGGAAAAAACAGTATTTTTAGCATAAGGATAATGAGACACATGAGTAGTGTTATAATTCTACTGATGAAAGCAATCAGAAGTAAGTGTTTTGCATTCAGTATAAAATTTTAGAAGAAGTTTTCTAAAGACTCAAAACTCCTCAATGAATTTTTCATGGATTGTTACATGATATAAATGACACAGGTTTACTGGAAATTGATGTGTATTGTGCAGTAAGATTGTCATGTTTTTAAACTGCAGTTGAGTTTCTGTCCTACCAGTAGTGCTTCTCGAATTAACGGTGGGGGTCGTGCTTTTAGGAGCAGTAGTTGAGATTACGGAGCTGACACCTAAAAAGCCATTGCCAAAAAGCATAACTGATCATGGGAGACACATGTAGATTACTCAGAAGTTGATTTTTAATATGTTTAAGGAAGTATTACATGACGGCAATTAAAATTATATAATTTTACTGAAAATTGACAAATATACTAGAATAATAATTAAAGTTTGGAAATTGAAGTTGGAGTTTCTGTCCTACCAGTGGTGCTTCTTGATCCAGCGGTGGAGGTTGTCCTTGTAGGAACAGTGGTTGATGGTACGGAGCTGACACCTGTATAAAATATTAGGAGCAAATTAGCCATTAGAGCATTTGCTGACACTTTATTATAACTATAGTTTAACATCTATTCACTGAACTTCATAACTGAATAATAATGAACTTCTGTTGCAAATCGTACCAGTAGGAGCAGTAGTATACATTGACATTACGGTGCTGACAACTTACAGTAGAAAGCATTCATTAGAGTGTTATATATTGTTGACAGATGACAACATTTTACTCAGAAAATTGTAGCTTTGCCATGAAGCTGAAATATACTGAAGATTGAGTTTCATTGCATATAAAAAATAAACGGATATTTAATGGTTTAATGAGGGTTACTGAACATTACATGACAGAACTTAGAAAGATACGACTTCACTGTACCTAAAATATACAAAGCAAAAACATTTGATAATCAATAACGTATATGAGAGCTGTTTTCCTACCAGTAGTGCTCCTTGAATTAGCCCTGGAGGTCGTGCTTGTAGGAACAATAGTTGAGGTTACGGAGCTGATACCTAAAACCATCACCAAAAGCATTTTTGAATATGTTTGATGGACTATTTCCTGACAACATAGAAAATTATATAATCACAAGGGAAAACTGAAATACACATTGCAATAAAAATTTATGTTTGGAAACTGGAGTTTCTGTTCTACCAGTGGTGCTTCTTGATCCAGCCATGGAGGTTGTGCTTCTAGGAACAGTGGTCGATGTTACGCTGCTGACACCTAAAAATTTATTAGGAACATATTGGCCATAAGAGCATTTGCCAAAACTTTATTATAAAGATAGTTTGACATGTATTTGCTGAGCATCATAACATAAATGTTTCAAAGGGAGGCATCAATACAGGATGGACAGGGGTGTTTATGGACTAATATCTCCTCTTTTAGTGTATAGGAGTGTTCAGTGAGGTTGTCCTACCAGTAGTGCTTCTTGAACCAGTGGTGGAGGTTGTAGGAGCCATAGTTGAGGTTACGGTGCTGACACCTAAGAAAAAACTGTATTATTATCGTAAAGATAATGAGACAGATGAGTAGTGTTATTATTCCTCTGATGGCAGAGATCAGAAGTAAGAAATGTTTTGCATTCAGTATGAAGTTTTTATATTCTATGTAATTATATTCATATATAATATTTTATATTATATATGTTTTGCATTCAGTATGAAGTTTTTATAATTGTACCGGAAATTGATGTATATTGTGCAGTAACTTTTTCATGTTTGGAAAACTGAAGTTGAGTTTCTTTCCTACCAGTAGTGCTTCTCGAATTAACGGTGGGGGTCATGCTTGTAGGAGCAGTAATTGAGGTTACGGAGCTGACACCTGAAAAAGCAATTAAAAAGCATTTTTAATATGTTTGATGGACCATTTCATTACAATAATTAAAATGATATAATTACAATGGAAAGTGAAATACACATTGCAATAAAAATTAATGTTTGAAAATTGAAGTTTTTTTCCTACCTGTCGTGCTTTTTGATCCAGTGGTGGAGGTTGTGCTTGTACGAACAGTGGTCGATGTTACGGGGCTGACACCTGAATAAAATAATATTACTAGCATAAAAGATCATGGGAGAGATGTGCAGTGTTATTATTCCACTTACGTCAGCTATCAGAAGTAAACTATGTGTTTTATTTAGTATAAAGTTTATTTCTAAAGGCTCAAAAGCACATTTCTAATGTTTGATCGACATGACGTCAATGAAAATCAACTTTACTGGAAATTGAAATACACATTGCAATAATTCTTGTTTAGAAACTGAAGTTGGAAGTTGGAGTTTCTGTCCTACCAGTAGTGCTTCTTGATCCAGTGGTTAAGGTTGTGCTTGTAGGAGCAGTAGTTGAGGTTACGGAGCTGACACCTGAATAAATTATTAGGAGCATATTAGCCTTTAGAACATTTGCTGACACTAATATATCTTATTATAGTGTAACAGAGCATCTATTGAGGTTGTTTATGGGCTAATATCTCCTTTTCTAGTGTATAGGAGTGTTCAGTGAGGTTGTCCTACCAGTAGTGCTTCTCGATCCAGTGGTGGAGGTTGTAGGAGCCATAGTTGAGGTTACGGTGCTGACACCTGAAAAAAAAAACAGTATTATTATAATGAGGATAATGAGACAGAGATGACTAGTGTTATTATTCCTCTGATGACAGAGATCAGAAGTAAAAAATGTGTTGCATTCAGTATGAAATTTTTAGAAGAACATTTCTAAAGAATTTAAAACTCCTCAATTAATTTTTCATGGATTGTTAGATCATATCAATGACATCATTTTACTGGAAATTGACGTTTATTGTGCAGTAACATTTTCATGTTTGGAAAACTGAAGTTGGAGTTTCTGTCCTACCAGTGGTGCTTCTTGATCCAGCGGTGGAGGTTGTCCTTGTAGGAACAGTGGTTGAAGTTACGGAGCTGACACCTGTATAAAATATTAGAAGCATATTGACCATTAGAGCATTTGCTGACACTTTATTATAACTATAGTTTAACATCGGTTCACTGAACTTCATAACTACATAACCATGAACTTCCTTCCCAAATGGAGGCAGCAAGACAGGACAGATAGGAGTGTTTATGGACTAATATCTCCTATTGTGGTGTATTGGAGTGCTTATCGAGGTTGTTTGTGGATTAATATCTCCTGTTTAAGATGAGGAGAGAGAGATGTGTAGTGCTTTTATGACATTGATTTCAGTTATTAGAAGTAAATTATATTAGTCAGTATTCAATAACATCTTGTATTTGGAAATTAAAGGTGATTTTCTGTCCTACCAGTAGTGCTTCTTGAGCCAGCTGTGGAGGCTTTACTTGTAGGAGTAGTTGATGTTACAGTGCTGACACCTGACAATAGAAAGCATTCATGAGAATATTAAATATTGTTGACAGATGACAACATTTTACTCAGAAAATTGTAGCTTTGCCTGAATGTGAAATGTACTGAAGATTGAGTTTCATTGCATATAACAAATAATGGATGTTTAATGGTTTAATGAGGATTACTGAACATTACATGACAGAACTTAGAAAGATACGACTTCACTGCACCTGAAAATATACAAAGCAAAAACATTTGATAATCAATAACGTATATGAGAGCTGTTTTCCTACCAGCAGTGCTCCTTGAATTAGTGGTCGGGGTCGTGCTTGTAGGAACAGTAGTTGAGGTTACAGAGCTGATACCTAAAAAGAAATAATCAATTGGAAATACACTTTGCAATAATTCATGTTTTGAAACTGAAGTTGGAGTTTCTGTCCTACCGGTGGTGCTTCTTGATCCAGCTGAGGAGGTTGTGCTTGTAGGAACAGTGGTTGATGTTACGGTGCTGACACCTGAAAAAATTATTAGGAGCAGATTGGCCATTAAAGCATTTGCTGACACTTTACTATAACTATAGTTTAACATCTATTCACTGAACTTCACAACTGACTAACCATGAACTTCTGTCCTAAATGGAGGCATCAAGACAGGATGGACAGGAGTGTTTATGGACTAATATCTCCTATTCTCGTGTATATCAGTGTTTATTGATGTTGTTTATAAAACAACATCTCATTTTATAGTGTATCAGAGTGTTTATTGATGTTGTTTATAGATTAATATCTCCTTTTCTAGTGTTTAGGAGTGTTCAGTGAGGTTGTCCTACCAGTAGTGCTCCTTGAACCAGTGGTGGAGATTGTAGGAGCCGTAGTGGAGGTTACAGTGCTGACGCCTAAAAAAATCAGTATGATTAGCATAAGGATAATCAGACAGATGAGTATTGATATTATTCCACGGATGACAGCAATCAGCAGAGACATGTTTTGTATTCAGTATAAGGTTTACAAAGAAGTTTTCTAAAGACTCAAAACACCTCAATGAATTTTTCATGGATTGTTACATGATATAAATGACACAGTTTTACTGGAAATTGACGTATATAGTGCAGTAACATTTTCATGTTTGGAAGCTGAAGTTGAGTTTCTGTCCTACCAGTAGTGCTTCTTGACCCAGCGGTGGAGGTTGTGCTTTTAGGAGCGGTAGTTAAGGTTACGGAGCTGACACCTAAAAAAACATCACCAAAAAGCATAAGGGATTGTGAGAGAGGCATGTAGATTACTCAGAAGTTGATTTTTAAAATGTTTAATGCACTATTACATGACGCCAGTTTTCAGAAGACGTTTTCTAAAGACTCAAAACTCCTCAATTAATTTTTCATGGATTGTTACATGATATAAATGACACAGTTTTACTGGAAATTTGTAAGATTTTGTTTAACGGGCTTTTACATGTCGTCAATGAACATATAGAATTTTACTGAAAATTGAAATATACATTGGAATGATAATAAAGTCTTTGGAAATTGAAGTTGGAGTTTCTGTCCTACCAGTGGTGCTTCTTGATCCAGCGGTGGAGGTTGGGCTTGTAGGAGCAGTGGTTGATGGTGCAGGGCTGACACCTGACAATACAAAGTATTCATGAGAATAATATACATTATTGTTAGATGATAATACTTTTATTTAGAGAATTGAAGCTTTGCAAAGAAGATGAAATATACTGAAGATTGAGTTTCATTGAATATAACAATTATTTACAGATATTTAATGGTTTATTATTATTACATTATATGACAGAATTTATAAAGACACAACTTGACTGTTCCTGAAAATATACAAAGCAAAAACATTTGATATTCAACAACGTATGTGGGACTGTTTTCCTACCAGTAGTGCTTCTTGACCCAGCGGTGGAGGTCTTGTTTGTAGGAGCAGTAGTTGAGGTTACGGAGCTGACACCTAAAAAAACCATTGCCAAAAAGCATAACTGATCATGGGAGACACATGTAGATTACTCAGAAGTTGATTTTTAATATGTTTGATGGACTGTTACATGACAGCAATGAAAATCATATAATTTTACTGAACATTGAAATATACATTGCAATAATAATTAAGTTTCTGTCCTACCAGTGGTGCTTCTTAATCCTGCAGTGGAGGTCGTGCTTGTAGGAACAGTGGTTGAGGTTATGGAGCTGACACCTGGAAAAGCACCACCGTAAAACACAAGAAAAATGTGTACATAACTCAAAAGTTTGAATATGTTTGATGGACTTTTACAGAACAAAAATGAAAATTATATAATTTACTGGACATTCAAAAATACATTGCAATAACATTTCATGTTTGGAAATTGAAGTTGAGTTTCTATCCTACTAGTAGTGCTTCTTGCTCCAGCAGTGGAGGTTGTGCCTGTAAGAGACGTAGTTGAGGTTATGGTGCTGACACCTGAAAATATAAAGTATTCATGAGAATATTATATATTGTTGATAGATGATAACACTTTAGTCCGAAAATTGTATCTTTGCTGTGAAGCTGAAATGTACCGAAGGCCGAGTTTCATTGCATCTAAAAAATGAACGGATATTTAATGGTTTAACTCTTTGTTGGAATGTATGAAGGCTAAAAGCAGAGTAATAATGTCATAATTTATGGTGTGCTGATGTCACAGCTCATTGACGTCATGCTACTTTTTAGATCTTTGGCTTCGTTCAGCTCTCTGTGCCTGTGGCGTACCCTGGGATTCCCATTTAGTAGATCGTGATACTTGAGCATCTGAATAACTTTAACTCAACTCTAGGACTGGTTTCATATTCATATGACTTGTTTATTAAAAGTAAAAACCACACTGCAGGGTTAGTTTCTGTTTGGAACAGGGAGCTTAGCACTCCCAATGTGATTCCGGATTGGGATGTGATATTGCATAATATCTTCACTTCATCCAAAAACGTGACTCATCATTTAGTTAGTTCACAGGGTCTATGTAACATCATGCTGTGCCTTTTTGATGAAACTGTCCAGTGAAAAATGCTGTAATAGGTGTAATTCAGGCTCTGTTGGGGATTATATTCATAAGTTCTGGCAATATCCACGTATATGTCTTTTTTGACATGTATGTAAAATAAGAAAAACTTCATACAACCCCAATTCTAAAAAAGTTGGGATGCTGTGTAAAATGTAAATAAATGTAAATAAAAACAGAATGCAATGATTTGCAAATCTCATAGACCCATATTTTATTCACAATAGAACATAGAACACATATCAGATGTTGAAAGAGAGACATTTTACCATTTCATGAAAAACATGAAACACATGAAAAACTCATTTAGAACTTGATGGCAGCAACACATCTCAAAAAAGTTGGGACGGGGCAACAAAAGGCTGGAAAAGTAAGGTGTACTAAAAAAAACAGCTGGAGGAGCAATTTGCAACTAACTCACATGACTGAGTATAAAAAGAGCATTATGGAGAGGCAGAGAAGCAAAGATGGGCAGAGTTTCACCAATCTGCAAAAAACTGCATCTAAAAATTGTGGATCAATTTCAGAAAAATGTTCCTCAACATAAAATTGCGAAGACTTTGGATATCCCACCATCTACAGTACATAGTACCATCAAAAGATTCAGAGATTCTGGAGAAACCCCTGCACGCAAGGGACAAAGCCGACGGTCAAGATTGGATGCTCATGATCTTCAGGCCCTCAGGCAGCACTGCATTAAAAACAGGCATGATTCTCTAGTGGAAATCACAACATGGGCTCAGGACACTTCCAGAAACCGTTGTCTGTGAACACAGTTTGCCGTGCAATCCACAAATGCAAGCTAAAGCTGTATCATGCAAAGAAGAAGCCATATGTCAACACGATCCAGAAACGCCGCCGTCTTCTCTGGGCCAAAGCTCATTTAAGATGGACTGAGGCGAAGTGGAAAAGTGTCCTGTGGTCCAGTGAATCAAAATTTGAAATTCTTTTTGGAAATCATGGACACTGCAGCATCCAGGCTAAAGACCAGCTTGTTATTAGCACATAGTTCAAAAGCCAGCGTCCATGATGGTATAGGGGGGCATTAGTGCACATGGCATGGGTAATTTGCACATCTGTGAAAGGGCCATTAATGCTGAATGAAAAATACAGGTTTTGGCAACATATGCTGCCATCCAGATGACGTCTCTTTCAGGGAAGGCCTTGATTATTTCAGCAATTGGTCTCTTCACTTCCCAGACGTTTACAGACTATTGTTAAAAGAAGACGGGATACTACACAATGATAGACACGACCCTGTCCCAACTTTTTTGAGATGCGTTGCTGCCATCAAGTTCTAAATGAGTTAATGTTTTTCAAAAAATGGTAAAATGTCTCACTTTCAACATCTGATTTGTGTTCTATGTTCTATTGTGAATAAAATATGGGTCTATGAGATTTGCACATCATTGCATTCTGTTTTGATTTACATTTATTTACATTTTGCACAGCATCCCAACGTTTTGGGAATTAGAGTTTAAATTAACTAAAAAAAAATAAAATTAAGTTAAAAAGTAATGTAGTGGTGGAGATCATACTTGGAGGAGCAGTAGTGGTTGTGGAGCTCATACCTGAAAATAAAATATTACAAGCAGAATGATGAATCTGGTTGGGGCCACAAAAAACAGCTAACTTGTAAAAATAAAAAAGTTCAATGAACTCAAAAGTTTAAGGCAGCCATGTTGCTAACTTTTTAAACTTGCGAATCTTTTTAATATTTCATGATATCAATCACAAATGTGTGGAAATTAAAGTATCCATTGCAATAATATTTCATAGTTTTAAGCTTTAAGCTTTATCTGAAGTTCTTTTCCTACCAGTCTTGCTTCTTGATGTAGTGGTGGAGGTTGTACTTGGAGGAACAGTGGTCGTGGTTAAAGTGCTGACACCTGATAAATGAGTGTTAGAAGGTTTATTGGTGGATGTTGGTGGTTCTAAGTGCTGAGCATTCCATGACATCAGTGACAAACTGAACGTTTGAGTGGAAATGAAAACATACATATCAATTTACTATTTGAAAACTGGAGTTCTTTTCCTACCAGCAGTGCTTCTTGATGTAGTGGTGGAGGGCATACTTGGAGGAACCGTAGCCGACGTTACGATGCTGACACCTGAAAATAAGATACAAGGAGCATCATGAGAGAAATCATTTTGAATATTTTCACCACATTTAATTCAGAGAATCACAGCTAATCAAATCGCCAATGGACCACATTCCAGAGAAGTTATATTATGTGTCCAAAAGTTTGTAGTCACTTCTTCTAATTAGTTAATGTACCTCTCGCCTCAATTTTGTCTGAAATGTAACAGAGGCTAGAATGGAGGAGTTTACTTAGATCTGACTCACAGACCTATAAACTGATCTCTGACTCTTGCCGTGTTATCAGACCACGTGTTGTGGATTATGGTGTTTTTGTGAAGAGCGGTGAGGCTTTGAAGGTGAGGACACACAGATTTGCAAGCATTTGCTCATTCGGTGCTCATGCTGCAAATGATACCACCATAACTGCTGGGAGTAACGGATCATAAAATCATTCACGGCAATTAAATCCTGAGATTTCAAGCTTTCTAACAGTATATTGCATCATTGTATTGCATTGCTGGACGATTTGATGCATAAAAATGAAGTATAAGAACTGGAAGTGAATGGTATTTGTACAGTGATCTAGGTAAGGTTAAGGTGCACACATTGCCAACGCAGGCGTTCACTTGCACACAGTTTCCATAAACTCATAGAAAAGCATTGCTGATAGAAGATAGAAGCAAGAAAAGAGAGAATACATTTGCTGTAAATTACTTTTTTCATCTGTAGAAGTAATATATTACATCGGTCAAGGTGGCGATACCCTGCCCTCTCACTGCTCTAGCATCTCTAATGCAAACTCAACTCTTATTTCAAAAGAATAAAATACTTTGTTTGTCTAGGTGAGCATCGCTGTAGCAAACGTGATATCTTTTAGGGTGTACTGCAGGGTTCTGTATTAGGCCTACTTTTTTTTTCAAAATACATGTTACTATTAGGTCACATTATTAAAAAGCATGCAGTCAGTTTTCATAATAGATGATACGCAATCATGTTGAGAGCCGGATGATATTTAAAGATTTAAGTGCTTTAAATAAACGAAGAATCTGTCTGTCCAGTATCATTAACAGAATGAATAGTATTTTTTAATTAATTGAAGAAAAAACTTAATTGGTAATGAAGCAAAGAGAATATACATTTCAAGTGGTCTAGGAAATATAGTCTGGGAAATCAAAAAGAGGAAAGCTTTGGCATCTTTTTTTTTCTATGCTTCATGATTTCTAGTGACGCTAGCAACTGGGGGCGTGTCTACAGGAGAGATAAGCCTTGCCCACCCAGAGGAATCATCTACCCATCCAATGAAAACTCTTTTTTGAGTGTTCGTAGTTTTTTCGTCATAGAAAATTGTGTTATTGCTCATCTAAAATGCACTGCTTTCCTATTGGCCGTTCTGAAGGTGTGGCACTTCTTCACATGTTCAGTACAGACATGAAGTGAACTGCTAAGCCGGTTTGTAGCTGCTCTCAGCAATCCAAGTAAAACTGTTAATACCTTACGTTTATTCTTTTCTCTGGTTCTTTCAAGTCAGTAGTCTTGTATAGTTTCTCACTTGAGTTTGCACATCTTGCAACTGCATGTTTCTTTTAAGTTACCAGCTGATTTGGTGGCGATTGGTCAGTAAATGAAGTTGCAGGTCTAGTCAGAGAAGAAAGGCTCCTAAACTTTAGCTAACTTCGTTACCCCAGTTTGGCGCATTACACTGTAATTTTACAGTTTTGTTGCCACCATCAGGTGAAAGGAAGAACTGCTATATATTGGCTGGCGGGCCGCTTACAACACACTCTTAAACAGAAGATACAGGCCAGTTAAAATCTGTCTGTGGGCCGCATTTGGCCCTGAGGTCGGACTTGGACACCCCTGATGTAGTAGAAGAACTTACCATTGATTAGCAGCAGTGCTGACACACACAGCAGGATGTGGAACCCCATTGCAATAAACTGAAGCCTAGGAATTCAAATCAGCCTGAAAGACAAGAAAATATGACAACATATATTGTAAACGCTCATGTGTACATATCTCGGCTCTGACCATTATAAATAGAAAAAAAAAAAATAACCGAAACACAAGTTCCTGCATTGTTTGTCTACTGTTTCTATTGCAACCACAAATAAACCATCCCTGATCCTGATGCTTCAGTGATGCTTAACAAAACAGTCTTGGTAACACTTTCTATGAAGGCCATGCCAGTGAGCATCTATAAACATATTCATGAACATGCAGATTTAATAACACGTTCGTAACATGTTATAATGCACTCATTAGTCATAATGCATTCTACAAGCTGGGAGTTCCTTCAGCACAATATAACATGTTATGAACGCTGCTTATATTGTGTTTGTAGGTTAGCAATTCATAATAAATAATAAACATGGCTATAAAGTGTAATGCAATAAGTATTTATAGCCATGTTTACAGTGCTGTTTGTATGAATTGTAGCGTGTTATGAATGTGTTCATAGTTTCTTATAGACATATTCAAATAAAGGTAGTAAACTGCCTCTGGGGCAGTAGAACCCTCAAGGGTCCATCTCAGTACCTTCAGTCAGGGAACATAATTGTACCATAATCCACTGAAATGATATGTTCTAAGCTGTACTGACTCCACACACCCCGTCTCGACTCCAGGCTTTTATTTTACTGTTCTGTTTAAAACATTCGGTTATGAAAAGGTACAAATACGAACTTTTCACCTGGAAAAACTTATTTAAGGTTCAAAATCAGACCTAAAAACCACTGTTGAACCTTTGAGGGAACATTTACACTGTTTGTACCTTGATGAACTAAAAATGTACCTGAACAGAACCTTTATTTCTAACAGTGTAGTAATGCCTAAACACTGTCCTGAGCCACTGACTGAAGTAGAAAAAAAAGCAGAAATTATATATTTAACAGAAAATGACACAGTAGCCTCAGCAACCAATAATTTTTCCTGTTTTTACTTTATATACAGGTCATTACAGGTATAGGGCAGTATTGATAGACATATGGTAGTATAAACAAATTATGATGACTTAGTTTAAGACTAAGGGAAAGCTTATTTAAGCCTAAATGTCATGGTTTATATAGGCAGGTCATACTGCGCTGTGCAAGCTGGATAAGTCTCTTGGTAACAGTTTACTTGAAGGATGTCTACATAACACATTTATAACATCTGATATAAACAGTCCATAACATGTTCTTGAATGTTTAAATCAATGTTTATGACAGGGACTACTATGTCATTTTACTGAGATACATTTAGATACATACCTTATGACCCCAATATAGGTTGTGTCCTTAATATATTCATTTGTGGCCTCAATATAGTAATTTGTGGCCTCAATATAGTAATTTGTGGTCTTAATATAGTAATTTGTGGCCTCAGTATATTACTCTGTGGCCTTAATAATTAATTCATGGGCACAATATAGTAATTTGTGGCCTCAGTGGCCTCATAGTAATTCTTCATATCAATGAATTAATTATTGGCTACAATATATTAATTTGTGACCTCAGTATGTTAATTTGTAACCTCAATATATTAATTTGTGGTCTTAATATAGTAATCTGTAGCCTCAATGTATCAATTTGTATCCTCAACATACACTCATGGTCCTGGTATAGTAATTTGTGGCCTCAATGTATTAATTCATGGCCTCAATATAGTAATTTGTGGCCTCAATTTATTAATTTGTGGCCTCACTATATTAATTCTTGGCCTCAATGTATAATTTATGGCCTCAATATATTTTTTGTGGCCTCAATATAGTAATTTGTGACCACCTTAATGTATTTTTTTGTGGCCTGAATATAGAATTTCATTTTCACTTTTCCATGAAACGCCTTACCTAGACATGCTCATCTGCCTGAGACTCTCCAGTTCTTGTACAACATTTTTCAAAACAAAAGACCTGGACAGCCAAGCTAAAAATGACCTGGCCTTGGCCCTTTCGAGAGGTAGTGCTTCGACACTTAGCAATTTTTGCCTAGATTTTTAATTAAAAAAATAATTGGAAAGGATTTTTAATGATATTTTTTTCTTAAGCATAGGTTGTCTCCTGCTGATTAATAAACACTTCCTGAGCTGTTATGTTTACCTGCGCTTTATATTTAAGTGCTCAGATGATCTAAAATGAAGTCATAAAATTAAACTAAACATCAACAAGAAGCAGCTCAACATCATGTTTTTTTTCTATAAATGTACTCCATATTTCTCAGAGTGTGACAGAGGCTTTTATTCTCTTGTACAGAGTTGACATTTGCTGACATTTCTCATTCACTTGAATTCTATTCACCAACAGGCTGAAAGCAGGTTATTGACTGTGTGCTATGGATTTATTTATTTATTTATTCATTTTCTTGCTTGAACGTACATTTTAAAAAGTCAACATTCCATAAAGTTAAAAAGATGTCAAACTAATTCAGAGCGCACGAATATATTACTGCAACATAAAACAGACAAATTTAAAAGAGGTTTAAAAGGCTTTACCTGTGCTGGTGAGAGCGGGGAGAGTTACTAGAAGCAGCAGTCTAGGAATGATGCCTCATCATCTGCATTTGTGAAACTATATACAAACACACAAACACGAATAACCGGTTCTTCATTTCTAATAAGAACCGCGTTTGGTATGTCGTCAGGGCACCAGCGTATCACAGAGGCTACATCACTCGAGACTTTTATACATTATTTCTATTAAAACAGATGCCGGATTTCAGATAATGAGCTCATTTAGGGAGAAATGAGGTTTATAAAAGAGGAGATTTTACAGCTGATAAAGGCGGGCAGGTCTTTGCATCACATATCCTGGAAATGTGAAACTGAAATATGAATCTTTATGCTTCAGTGAATGGACTTGTGTCCTCCCTTCCTTTTGTGCTTTTCACTTCTTTTGTCTTCACTGTCTGCTGCCTTTTTTTTTAAGAAGATGGCCAGAGGAAAAGGATCTAAGCGGCTTTGAAAACATACTGACAGCAGGAGCTTCAGTCACTGCTCAAAGATGGACCAGTTTCTCCCAGAATGCACCATTTATTACATCAGTCCGCTGTATTTAGGGAATACAGTACATTACTGCAGTGTTTTTGCTGTAAATTTTATGGAGCTCCTACGGTGACATGGTGATTACTCTTCTAATAAGGTGTGGCCACGAATTAATATATTGAGGCCACGAGTTAAGTTTCTCTTAACTCATGACCTCAATATATGTTGTGTCCTCAATATATTAATTTGTGGCCTCAATAAATTCATCTGTGTCCTCATCATATATTCATTGTCACAATATGGTAATTTGTATCCTCAATATATTAATTCATGGCCTCAATATAGTAATTTGTGGCCACAATATATTTATTCTTGGCCTCGAATACAGAATGATTTCATTTTGACTTGTCCATGAAATGGAAACCTAGACATGCTGATCTGACTGAGACTCTCCGGTTCTTGTTCAACCTCTAGCATTTGGCAGAACTGAAAGAACACTTTGAAAGTTTCGTTTCAGTTCAAACAATAGAGGTTGCACAAAAACTGGAGGCCTGTCACAGTACTGTTTCACAGGCAACCGGGAATGTTATGAAATGTATTGTTTGATAAATAAAAATGTAAGAAATTGGATCAGGATGATGGAAATGGCCAGGTTTACCTCTTTCTTTTGTGTATGTGTGTGTGTGTGTGTGTGTGTGTGTGTGTGTGGGAGGGGGGGGGGTGATCACATAATTGAAATATATCTTAAGATTTTTGAATCACCCAATAAATACAGGGTGTCCCAAAAAAATTTACATAATTTGAGATGTGAATATCTGAGTAACTACATGTCCTGGCAAAGATTTTATAACCAATTTCACAGCTTCACAAATGTAATACCTTCCATTACTGGTGGTCATCCAGATCCCTTTGTCCTTCACAGACAGCCTTCCTCTTTGAATTGTTTGTGTCGTGTCCAAATCTGCTTTCCAGTTGGTGCATTTTTATTGAATTTTCTGGAAAATGCTCGCTGCACTCTCGTTTGACTGTGTTCGAGCTTATTCTAACACACAAAATGCCTTTTCATTTCTAGTGAACGCCGTTCTTCACCCTGAAAAAACACATTAAAAATTAAACTTGGTTAGTTTTTACACATTTTGTTAAAATTTGAGATCATTTGAGGGAGAATTGGCTGTTATTAGACCACAAAATGATCAATCAGGCCAATGTGAGATGCTAAATTAGCCCTAAGTGTGAGTGTGTATTTAGATGTATATGTCTGTCTGTCTGCCCTGTGATGGACTGATGGACTGGCGACCTGTCCAGGGTGTTTCCTGCCTTCGGCTCAAAGAGTGCTGGGATAGGCTCCAGCTCCCCCCAAAACCAGGAGGATAACTGGCTTAGAAAATGTGAGGTAATTGTAAGGAATTTTTGTCCATATAAACTAAAACATGTTATTGTTTGTTAATGCCTGTTAATATATCGCTGCTGGCGGAGGAAAACCTTGTATCTCCATTTTTTACGTTTTTTAGTTTTTGACATAATTTGAAAGTACCTGTTACCCTTTGTACTGTATGTAAATTTCATTATAAATGGGTTACAAGAAATGACCCAAAATTACTTTGAAAAACGTTTGGTTGCACTGACTTACATTAACAGTAAAGTATGCTTTTTCCCTCTCAGGTAAAGTTACCGAGTTTTTTTTCTGACAACAGCGAAATATATATTCATACAGTGAGGTCCAAAAATCTGAAAACAAAGAAAAGTTATGAGAAGTATAATAAAGAAGAAATATTCAAGATCCTGCACTATTTCTAAGTCTCTTTCAAATGTAGGCAAATTTGTGACATTGACCATGTTAAGGCCTTCATACAAAAAGGCTGGGTTTTTTTAATCATTTCTGCTGAAGCTCGTGTTCGGACCACTTTAAGGTGGACTTGATCTGCTCATCAGAGGCTTTTGCACAAACTTGAATCCAGTGCATGCTGTCAATAAAGCAAAAGATTTGTGGCTTCAATATATTAATTTGTGGCCTCAATATGTTAAATTGTGGCTTCAGTATATTAATTTGTGGCCTCAGTATATTAATTTGTGGCTTCAGTATATTAATTTTTGGCCTCAATATATTAATTTGTGGCCTCAATATGTTGAATTGTGGCTTCAGTATATTAATTTGTGGCTTCAGTATATTAAATTGTGGCTTCAGTATATTAATTTGTGGCCTCCGTATATTCATTTTTGGCCCCAATATATTAATTTGTGGCCTCAATATATTAATTTGTGGCCTCAATATAGTAATTTGTAGCCTTATTATATTAATTTGTGCTCGCAATTTATTAATTTATGGCCTCATTGTATTGAGATCCTGAGATTCATGTTCAAGATTCTACCTTTTATGCAAATTATATAACAGTATGTTATGCTGATAATATCATTTGTAATGAAAAACATTGTATGGAATTAGAAAGGAAGAAGCACTTTATAGAAGCACTTTCACTAGTGGTCTCAGTATTACTTAAATCTTTCTTCTTCATACAACAGAGGAAAGTGTAGCTACATTTATTAGGAACAGTTTGGAAAAGGTTTGGAAGTATGGCTATTTCCTAAAAGATAAACAAACAGCACAATAAAAAACATTAATAATAATGTTAATAGTAATAATATAGTAACATTTTAATGTAGGTCAGTGTTTCTAAACCTAAATGACACCTGCATAATCCTTTCATGACAACTGACATAAACCTATACAGACCTTCATAAGGGCTTAATAAGCAGCAGTTATCATAAAAGCTGCTTTTGTCAACTTCAGTGTCAGGTTGGTGTAACACCTGTGTCAAGGGCAGGTTTAGTCCACATTAGGGCGAGTCATAACATTTTCCGGTGTGAAATGATGCGGCACATTATGACAGCTGCCTTTGTAGCTCTGTGTTTTTGTGGTTTGTCAAACACAAAATGTAATTATGTTACACAACTTGACAAGCGAGGCTGGTTGGTATTCATGCAAGCATTTAGTCCTAGGTTGAATGACCAAGGCAGTTTGCTTTACAAACAATGACCGACAAAGGAATGTTATGGCATTTCTCAGGCTGGAATGATCCTCAGTGATCACCAAATGAAATTAGAAGTTTCTTTTGGGTTTTTTTGGGGGGGATTTCTTGCATTCTGGCTAAATTCTTTCAATAAAATAACATCTTAATCTTAAACGTGTCAACTTTTGGCAGCGTCAACTATTTTTGCTTTGTTTCCTCGTCTTTGCGTATCTCAGCTGTCTGATTTTATCTCAGTCGTGTTCATTCATTCAGTTGTATTTTTTATATATTTAGATATCCAACATGCAGGGAGTGATCTCATGCACATGCTTTTCAAACAGTGTAATATGTCGATGTGCGGTTTTCCCTATAAGAAACAATTTCCTAGATTTTGAAATCCGTGTGTACACATAATAAGTAATGCTACTGGGCCTGAGAAACCTGGTAGCAATATGGTTCATGTGTTCAGAGCTGTTTGAGGCACCAAACAGAATTCCAAAGTAGTCAGCGCCCTAATGCCAAATGCATTTGTCATAAAAAACTGCACACTTATTCATATCATGGTTGACAGTCTTGAAAATACAGCCTACAGTTGTTGTTCTGGTCATTGTCTCCTCCCTGGTGCTGCCTTCTTGTCATCTGTCTCACCTGTCTGTTGTCTATAGCCCTGCCCTCTTCTTAGTCCCATGTGTTTCTGGTTTGTTCCATGTGTATTTATACCCCCTGTTTTGTGTTCTCAGGCCCTGTTTTCATTATCTCCCAGTTCGTGTTCTTTAGTCTGGTTTCCTTTCTGTTGTAGCATTTTGTTACTGAGTGTTCTTATTGTTTTGTTACCTTGTGGATTCTTTCGCCATGGCATTCCATAAAAACAAGGACTAGCTTGTATCCTGCTTCTTTGTCTCCCTCTAAGTCACACAGAGTTGTTTGTGTTGCTTGGGTGGCATTAAAAATCAGTGAAAAAAATGTGAGTTGGAAAAAAAACAGTTCTCTTGTTGTCGGTATTGCAGCCTTTTGTACATTGTGGAAAAGCTTCCCATGGATCAAATACAGGAAGACCTACACAGCCTGCTCTCCACAAATCAAACTTAAATACAAAATCAAACTTTATCTGCTAATTTTATTGCACAATTTTTGCTTATTTGCTGATTTTATCATATTGGGGAAAAAACTATTTTGGGCACACAAAGCAGAAGAAGTGGAACTTTGACTTGGTAACACTCTTTTACACTGCAGGGTCTGTACATTTAGCCTTGTGAGCTCAGACTCCAGTTCTTTTTCCCCTGGGTTCTTGTTTCCTCCAGGTCTGTCCACTCCTGAAATATGTGACGTGTATCAGTGGACATAAAATATTGACAGAATGGTAGCATTTTAAGTGGAGTATTGTTGTGAGTGGACATCTGAGACACTGGGCGGGTGTGAAAAACTGGCGAAGCTCTTGTGCGTCATTTTTTTGCAGGCCATGTATTAAAGCTGTTCACTGTTTGAAAACATTTTATATTTCTTTTTTATTCTTATGTCGGTTCTTCACTGATTTTATGACAAAGTGCCATCGCAGGCCCAGTACTGATCACTGCCCCCCCTTAGTACTGGCCTGAGGACCACCAGAGTGTGTTTTGAGGCCCAGTTGTGAGCGACGACCAAATGGTTCAGAAACCCTGCTTTACACAAGTATAATTAAAATTGAGTACTGAGTACTTCAGGTGCATTTTAATTGATTGTTTTTATTAAAACTTCCATGCTAATGTAAAACACTCACAGGTATGATCATTTATTTTTGTGCAGTTTTCAGTACCAACAGTTATTCGCATCACACATCACCAAAAAAGCTAACTTTTAATTCATTTATTAAAACATTTACCTTTATATACTTGAAAATGTTTTTGACTTTCACTCAAGTATAGTTTTTCACTCATACGTTCACTTGTAATTTTTACAAAGTACCCACATGTGACGAGGCGACGGAATTCAGATGCTCACAGATGAAAAATGCAAACAGGGTTTTATTAACGTGTGCCAAAGGCGTGGTCGAAAACGTGGGTCTTAACCAAAAGGCAGCAAAAGATCACCGAAGTAAACATAACACTGGGCAGACAAAAAACCAGGGGGTGAACCGAAATCCTCGTCAAAAGGCAGGCAAAAGGTCAAAGCACAAATCCAAATAACGATCAGCAGAGGTACAAAAGGCTTAGGCTCAGCTCAACAAAACTGGGTCATAACAGGCAAACATAGACAGATCAGGAAAACGCTCAGTATGTTCAAAAGAAGCAATACTTCGCAACGACTCTAACTAAAGCCCAAGCTAAAATACTATTCTAAATGAGTCATATGACTACAAACACAGGTGCTCTCTTAATACTCTGGTGACTGTGAGCGCTGACAGGTGTGTGAACGATTGTCCAAAGTCATGTGATCTCCTGAGGTATTGTGGGCAATGGAGTCCGCTCTGGACTCTGAGTCCGAGAGAAGTTGCTCATCCACGTGATCTCCCAAGGCATTCTGGGAAACGTAGTCTGAATCCGCCCGAGGCGTGACACCACAGTTTTGCTTAAGTTTATTTTTCTGTACTTTTTTCACACCAGATGCCGAAACACAATTCTAAAATGATTCTTTTTGCATCTTGATTTTCGTGCATTTTGATTTTTATAGCCTACATTACGCTTTTGTCCTATGTTTATCTATCTTCAGTAGTACCATTAGCTTAGCTGAATTTGAATGTAGCCTGCAGACAGAGCATATTTGTATGCCATGCACAGGAATGTGTATTTTTTTACCTTCCAATAACTTTGAACATAAAAATAAAATCAAACTTTTATTTGATAACTATATAACCAATACTGTTTTAAAAAAAAAAGTTTGGTACAGTTGGCATTAAAAAAACACGCCTTTGTAAACATCCAATTTTGGCCTTTTGTGCATTGATGGAGAACCTTTTAAACAGAATAAAAAAGCAGCTAAGAACAGCTTAATTTCTCCCCCCTATTTCATTAATTTGTCTTTTTTTTATTGTTTGCTGCACAATCTACACTAACAGCACCATCTAGTGGTGTCACAACATCATGGCGCATTGCCATGCAGATCTCAATATACACACACACATCATGTAAACCGCTTATCCTTCTGGGTCACGGTGGGGTGCTGGAGCCTATCCCAGCTGTCATTGGGCGCAAGGCAGGATACACCCTGGACGGGTCGCCAGTCCATCGCAGGGATCTCAATATACAGTCATATACAAATTTTTGTACACCTCCTGGTCAAATGATATGTTTTGGTGGTTTTCTAAGTGAACGTAAGTTAATACACATTCTCTACAGAAAATGACATATTTCTATTCATTTTAATACACAGTTCATCAGTTTGCTGAGTTAATCATAGTGGAAAAAAATAAAATGTGCCATAACTTTTGCACAGGTCAAATTTTTTATGTTTTTTCCCCATCATGTGAATTATTACATATTAGGATTCATCAAGCAGCTACAATAAAAAGCTGGATTCATTTTTAACATTATTTATTGTCATTCATTAGTATGCAAGTGTACTGACAAGATTATAAGAGAATTATTATAAATAAATATAAAATGTACATGAAAAGTGTGATCATATATAGAGAGAGAGCACATGTTCATGTGAGGTGTACGAAACTAAACCAACTTGTTGGAAAGTTGGATGGCTTGAACAGAATGACATCAGTGCCAGAACAGAGTCTGGGTCAATCAAATAACATAGCAGTCTTGTTGGGTATTGTTGTTATTTGCTGTGTGGGATTAAAGGTATTGGCAAAGATTCAACCATACATTTTTCCACTTTACTGCCTTACTTTACTTTAGCGCTGGAGCTGCACAACTAACATCGCTAGCAAACACTAGAAGTCAATGGTCACCCAAAAATGACCCAAATCTTTTCCTTAAATACACCACTTGCTCACACTACTTAAAGGTTTTCATTAAGGTGGCACAGACCTGTTGATGTGTTTTAGCACACACCCTGATAGCAAGAGGATAGTGGGTCACTGTCAGCCCACTGATGGCAAAGCTGGTGGTCCACTGGCGTTTTGCTGGTGGTTAAGCAGAGTAATAGCCAAAATTCCACTTATCATCACTCATTTTCCTTCTACAGTCCAATTGAATTATTTTTCCATCCTTCCTTTCTTTAGTTATACTTTGTAAATTAGTTTGGTAAGTAATTTTAATCTAGTACAGTATTATTAAAAACTAGTTAGAAGTTAGAAGTATGCAGGACAATAATCTGGGTGGCCCGAGGGTGGACCAGCGATGGCAAACAGTCAGCGCGTTGCCGACCTTATCAAGACAGCAGACCAATATATGCTGTCTATCTGGGCAGTATGACTTACTGTGAGCTATAAAAATGAAGAAAACTTCACCGTGTAGCTGAATGCTGCGGGCAGCCACTTTAGACAACAGATGCTGTGCTAAATTTCACCTTCACAGAGTCGGACCACACACAGGCATATGTTCTCTATTTCTGCTGTTTCTAATTTTAAACATATAACTTTGATTTGACAATTTAAGAAAGAAAACGTAAATCACAAACATAATCTCTAATCCATACACCTGCATTTGCCTCGTAGCTCCGGTTTAAAACTAAAGCAGCTTAATGTCTTGACTAAATGGTTACATTTAAGGTAAGCGGAAAATTGTGTGAAGTTGAAGCTGCTCATAATTTCTCCTGCGGTTCCACTGATGAGAAGTGGGGAGTGAAAATTAGAAATGTTGCTGTGATCCAACTAGCTGGTCAAGATTCAAAAGACCATAATAATCATCTCCCATCAACTAGGCCATAAAGTCTTGGGTGACCATGTTGAACATGTTGTTTCTGCTCTGGGACCAACATCTACCAGTCACCTTTCTCAGTTCCTCCTGAACCTGGAATAAACGAAACAAACAGATGAGTAGGAGCAGTCTGTAAAAGTGTACTGAGATATTATTCACACAAATGGAGTTTCTTACCTCGCTGTTCATGAAGCAGTACAGCAACGCCACAGTGAAGCCCTGTAATAGCATGGTAAATTAGAGTCACTGTTCCGAAGCACTTCCAGTGGGGTTTGGGATAATCTTTATCGGATCATTCCACCATATTGGCAAGGTTGGTTGATTTGTTTACGAGCTATAAATGCTCACAGTCACTGAGAGAGCTTAAGAGATTTCTGTGTTATTGTGGTTTTCAGGCCTGTCCTGCTAATACATGAATAAAATGAGAATGTGGTGCATCTAAACCAGCTCTGTTGGGATGCCAAACAACAGAATAATGATATATTTAGCCTTATTGACAGTGTGGATCCATATAAACTACCAAACAAAGAGTGGAGGAATGATTGGGATATGCTGCATCCCCATTCTTTCACTTTTTCATCGCTCATTTGTGGCTAAAGTGTCTATTTAATTCCTGTTTAACTATAAACACTTTCAACTACCAACACTTTGAATTTTTTTTACTCAGCCAATGGTGCATTTCACTCAGTTACTGGCATATTTCACTCAGTTACCGACATATATCACTTTATTACTGACATATTTCACTCAGTTACTGGCATATTTCACTTTGTTATTGGCACTTTTCACACAGTTACTGACATATTCCACTCAATTACCGACATATTTCACACAGTTACTGACATATTTCACTTAGTTACCACCATACTTCACTCAATTACTGACATATTTCACTCAGTTACTGACATATTTCACACAGTTACTGACATATTCCACTCAGTTACCGACATATTTCACTCAGTTACTGACATATTCCACTCAGTTACCGACATATTTCACTCAGTTACTGACATATTCCACTTAGTTACCACCATACTTCACTCAGTTACTGACATATTCCACTCAGTTACTGACATATTCCACTCAGTTACCAACATATTCCACTCAGTTACTGACATATTTCACACAGTTACTGACATATTCCACTCATTTACTGACATATTTCACTCAGTTACTGACGTATGTCTTATGAGTACCTGGAAGGATCCCAGCACCAGTTCAAAGAAAAGTCTGGCCTCCAGCCCCACATGCTCAGGGAACAGGGCGAACACTACGTAATGGACTCCAAACAGAGGGATCAGCAGCAGAGTGGACTTCACCATCCTCCTGCAGAGGGCAGCAGAGAAGACAACATTGACAAGCCCAGTATAGGATGGATACAGCATTTAATAGGGATGGTAGATTCTTTTTGTTCCAATACTCTATAACACTAGTACCCCACAACATGACCATTGTGCCTTTAAAAACTTGTGTAATGCTTTATTATAACTATGATTTTTCACATATACAGTACTGTCAAAAGTCAGAAAGAGCCCTTTTTATTTAATTCCCAGTCAAAGTTGCCATTAAGTACAAGTTACTCATTTTTCAAGAGATATTTCTGAGAAGAGAAAAGGTAAATAAGTGAAAAACAGGAACTCCAAAGACACTAAAGCTGCCCCCATCAGATAAACAGCACTTAAAGCTTTCATCTCTGAGAGAGAGGAGGAAATCAAGCTGCTTCAGATCTGAAAACATCCACAGGTGTTTCTGTCCATCCTTCCACTGTGAGAAGACGACTCAGCGCTGTGGGTCTGAAAGGATGTGTAGCTGATCAAGAAGAACCTCACTGAGAAAAGGAGACGGACACATCAAACAAAGAAGCTGAACGATGGACTGACCACCCCAGAGTCCAGACCTCAACACCACTGAATGTGTTTGATTACTTCAGAAAATGATCAACCAGCTTCTGAGACTGAACTTTGGAGGTGTGTCTGCAGATTCTTTGAGGAGCTGAAAGTGAGTCTCCTGAAAAGAATGGAAGCTGGAATAAAGAGAAGGAGTGACTCACTGAACACTGAATGCTTGATATGATAACATTTAGTTTCTGTGTAATTTTCGGTGAATTTATATGTTTTCTGATTTTTTCCTGAGGCTGAGAAAATGATTAACTTGTCCTCAATGAAGTGTGGACTTATCAATTCTTCAGTGTCTACAATCCATTTTGTATCCAGTCAAATGTGGCGTTACCTGTACAGTGGTCTTTCTCCTGAATGACAGTCAGGGGTCTTTGTCTTCAACACAATAATCCTACTGATGTTCACAAATACAAGAAAGTTCACCTGCAGTATGTAAGAGGTACATTAATAGCTCAGCTGAGTGAATGAACTGTTTAATATGGAGGTATGGTGGTAATGCTAAACCTTCATACTCACAAATACTGAGAGGAGGATGGGTGTTTTGATTATCCACCAGAGACCACTGTCCAAGTCATCCCAGCATCTGCCAATACACACACAAACACAATATGACTTTAATATGACACTGAACTTCTGTTAATGACTGTTAATCAATTACTATAAATATTTAAGGGAACCATATCCTACTAGGTTTTCCTCTAAAGTCAACTATAAAATTTGAATGGCTTCATGTACCAAAAAATATCATAACTCATTTTACGTGATCATTTTCCAAGCACTCTTGATGTTGTTAAACAGGCTTTTTTATTGCCTTTAAGACTGATATATGTAAATAACCTGGCTGCCATGCATTGCGCCTCTTCCAAAAAGCAGCCCAGTCTGAAAAGTCAAAACAGCTGTCAAGTTGGGACTGAAATCTTCAGGGACAGAAAAAATAAACTTCAGCTGCTCCTTTTAAACAAGCAGGTCCTTTGGAAGGCTGCAGTGATCCATGTGCTTGCTGACAGCCATGAACAGTACAACATTTAATCATTTTCCCACAGCTTCCACTCCGATGACTCTAGGGTCCAATCCTAGTTCTCCCCTCGCCCCTACCACTTAGCCCTTACCCTTCCGTCTTGCATGTTCACGTCTAGGGGTAGGGTGTGCTGATTTTTGTTGAGATAGAGGGGTGGGGCGAAGTGTTAGGAATACATGTCCCTCCAAAATGACGTTGTTTCAGTGTATTATGGTCCTTTTCTTCATAACAAGCATAAAAAATCTCTAGTATGCTAATGTCTTGGTAGCTAGCTAAATTTCCTGTTATGGAGACATCAACATATGAGCAATTTTTTATGCTTGTTATGCAAGAAAAGGATCACAACGGGAAAATTCGGACAAGAATCTGGTGAATAACTGACTTCAGCTTCATATCACTGAAGAATTAGGGGTGGGTGATAATAAATAATTGCCCCCCTCTTTGAAGGCATATGATTCCCTAAATGTAACTAAAGCCCAGCAGTGAGGAGCTGAACTTTACCCTCCTCTGCTGTCACTGCAGACTGGCAGGGTCGCCTACAGAGCAGCGCTGGTAGCTGTTAATGAAGTAATGATCTTTTTTATTTGATCCCATTTCAGAGGGAAGATTTCAACCACTACCCCTTGTAACTCAGTTCCAGGAGATACTCGAAAACAGGGGACAGTAGTAAAAAATAGGAAATGGGATTGGGCCTTTATCTTACCCCTGGTTGTCAAACTGAAGCTTTAAGAGCATCCAGATGATTATCGTCACAGACGGGGTTCCTGCAATGTATAAAGTCATTTCATTAGAAGATGAGCACATTGATGTGATATTTACTGTAATACAGACACTGGCACTTCTGTTTTTCTTACCCCAGCCGATCAGCGTGTACCACCAGAAGACGGCCCTCTTTTGGGTGAAGGTGAACACCAGGAGAGTCTGCAGGTACAGTCCCTCCACTAGCAGCCAGTAGAAGTTTGCCAGGACAGAAAACTGGAAGAATGTCACTGTAGCTTTGCACACAACCTGGTTAGTAAGATCACACAAGTAGTGGGTTTTTATCAGGTGTCTACTTTGCTTTTGAGTCTGAAAACCGGCCTGTTGTTTCTGCACTGCCAGTAAACTAACTTCTCACACGTGGATATTTTACACAAAGGATTTTGTACTTACATAGCAACAATACTAATAATGATACTAACAGAAACAATAATATATTAAAATAATATAGGACGTATTACTAACTCCAGAGCATTTTTAATCTGGTCATTTTTAGACGGTTCCTAACACTGAAGCAGATGGGGAAGCAAGCACAGGTGCTTTATTTCACAATCTTTGTGAAATAACAAAAGAATCGCACAGTTCAGTTCAAAGATGTGGCTGTAGTATACCATCACCGAGAGATGTGGACTCGAGTCATATGATTTGGACTCGGGTCCAACTCGAGCCATGAATTTGATGAATTGAGGCTTGACTCGAAAAAATCGAGAAGGACTTTGACTTCAACACCAATGACTCGGACATCAGCCTGTGCTGACTCGGGACTTGAATCAGGACTCGACTTGGGACCTGAATCGGGACTAGAGTGTCAAGAATTGAGACTTGCAAATTAGTGACTTGTTCCCACCTCTGCCTTTAACCTGTTAACTGTCGCCCCATTATTGCCTGAAACGACATACCCAAAGTAACAGGGGGCGCTGTTCCCACACACTTTGGGTTACAGTCATGATCTTGGTCTCGTTTGAAAGGTAACACTCCCAACCGTCTGATGAATCATATGAATTAGTGACACAGAGTAACAGAGGCTAGAATGGAGGAGTTTATTTCTGCCTGACTCATAGATCTCTGAACTGATCTCTGACTCTTGCCATGTTATGAAGACCACGTGTTTTGGATTGTGAAGGATTTGAAGGTGAGGACTGACAGATTTACTAGCGTTGCTCATTCAGTGCTCGTGTTGCAAATGAGACGATCGTTACTGCTGTGAATAACTGATCATAAAATGGTTTTGTGGGAATTAAATCCCAAAATTTCAAGCTTTCTAACGGTGTATCGCACCACCATATTCCTGACGATTTGATGCATAAAAATGATGCATAAAAAACGGAAGTGACCGCTTCAGTGGAAGTGTGTCGATACCAGTACATTGATCTAGAAGACTTTAACATAGCCATTTTGGGTTCCGATGGTTGTATGACACTTTTTGCATAATGCATGCTGGGTATTTTAGTGAGAGAACACTGATGGACAGAAACACAAGAAGGGTACAAAATCACAAATTCTGTCAAACCAACGAGGTGGAGGGATGCAATGCTGCACTATATAACAATACAGAACAAATAAAATGTTAAATTCTAGCTACAGGCCAGAACACCCCGACAAGCTGTTCTCTTATTGGAGCACAACGTTCTTCTGATTCCTGAGGTTTTTAGCTGTTACCGTGGAGACAGTGCAGTGATCAATAGTCTGGTCAGCGAATAACACGCCGTCTTTCACGAACACAGCAACGCCCCTCAGAATAAAGGAGGAGAAGAGGTTGAGGTGGATGCAGGTGCGGGTGCACAGCAGCTTCCTGTGGATTCAGTGGAGATTAGCATATGCAGTTAGCAAAACACCAGTACCTCAGGAAGCTCTGCTGTTGTGAGTGACTGAGACACATTAATGAGTACCTGAAGATACAGAAGATGAACACGGCAATGCAGAGAGAGCCTAGCGACACACCATAACCGACTGAGTACATCAACTTCACAGTAGCAAAGTATTCTTGCTAGCACCAAAGAGAAAGAATGAAAGGAGATTAGCTAGAAAAGTAATATTGTTGTACTGTATGACACAAATTAAGGTAATAGCAGTTCATAATATGCACTAAGACCTGCGCTGTATGGCATCTTCATTCTAAATAAGATTTTCTAAGAGAGGCGCTAAGTATCGTCAGTCTACACACTATATGGACAAAAGTATTGGGACACCTACACATCACACCTACAGGGAGCTTTTATGAATCCTATTCTAAATCCATAGGCATTAATATGGAGCTGGTGCCCCTTTGCAGCTCTAACAGCTTCCACTCTTCTGAGAAGCTTCTACAAGATGTTGGAGAGTCTGTGGGAATTTCTGTCCATTCATCCAGAAGAGCATTTGTGAGGTCAGACGCTGATGGACGAGAGGGTCTGGCTCACAGTCTCCGTTCTAGTTCATCCCAAAGGTGTTGGATGGGGTTGAGGTCAGAATTCTGTGAGGGCCAATCAAGTTCTTCCACACCAAACTCACCCAGTCAGGCCTTTATGGAGCTGCTTTGTGCACTGGGGCTCAGTCAGGCTGGAACAGGAAAGGTTCTTCCCCAAACTGTTCCCACAAAGTTGGAAGTGGACAATTGTCCAAAATGTCTTGTTCTGCTGAAGCATTAAGATTTCCTTCACTGGAACTAAGGGTTCTAGACAAACCCCTGAAAAACAGCCTCATATCATCATCCCTCCTCCACCAAACTTTACAGCTGGCACAGTGCAGTCAGGCAGGTAACGTTCTCCTGGCATTCGTCAAACCCAGACTCGTCCATCAGACTGACAGATAGTGAAGTGTGATTCGTCACTCCACAGAATGCGTTTCCAGTGGCGGCGCTTTACACCACTCCCCCTGACAGGTGGCATTGTGAATTTTGATCTTAGGCTTGTGTGCAGCTGCTCGGCAATGAAAACCCATCTCATCAAACTCCTAATGCGCATTCTTGTGCTGATCTTGCTTCCATAGGCAGTTTGGAGCTCTTTAGTGAGTGATTCAACAGAGGATAGGCACTGTGTGTTTCAGCCCTCGGCAGAGTTTGGGTGGTCTACCGCTTTGTGGCTGAGCTGTTGCTTTTCCTAGATGCTTACATTTCACAATAATAGCACTTACAGTAACCAATTCTGCCCACTACTTAGGACTCCCCCAGTCACACGATACTACCAGCGCTAGTCCAAACCAGCCACCGCATCTTTTCAAATTGCCGCTAACGCAACGTCATTGAACAGCTGAACACGCTCGGAGGAGAACATTAACCACCAGTTCTGATACATCAGCTAACAAACGTCTGTGCTGGCTAGCATCGGGCTGAGTGATGGGGGGAGAGTGAGGCCAGTTGTGCTCTCTTGGGCTGCTGGTCATGGATGGCTGTAGCATCACTAGGGACTGAGCTCACTCACAAGCTGTCTGGATACTTTTGAACATGTTACAGTGTACAGTTAGACTCACAGTTTAATATGGAGAACAGAGAAACTAATTAATTATTGCGATTTTAAGATATTTGATTTATATTTACAAAATTTGTAATACTTTGTGCCTGGTGTCTTCTTCCTCGCTGGCGTCCACCTGAAGACAAGCAGTGTAATAGGGGACACTCTGACCACTCCAGCCGTCACTGGTGCAGTTACGGATGATGACGACTGTGAAAGTGAAGCACATCCAAGATGTCAGCTCACACTCCAACAGGGACTAACAAGATTCTGTGTTGGACTTTTTTGGTCATTTTATTTTGTCCACTATAGGTTGTCCACAGATGCTCTTTGTTCGCAAACTATCTGGTGAAACATGATTAAGAACAGAGTTAGGTTTAGGTCTGGCTTACTTCTCCTACCACTAGGCTATTAGTAATGCAACAGTATGATTCTAGTAAAAGCTGGCCAGCAAAGCAGCCCCAAACCATAACACTTCCACCACCATGCTTTGCAGCTGGTATTAGGTTCTCAGCTTATATTTATTGGGGCGCCCTTGCCTGGACATGTTGGCTGAGGTTTTAAATCTTCTTCACTTGTAAATGATCTCCTGGACTGTGGAAGGATTGATTTCCAATATTTTGGATATCTTCTTAAACCCCTTCCAAGGCTCATAGGCATCTACAACTGTCTTTCTGAAGGCCTCAGAGAGCTCCTTTGATTATCCCACACCCCAAAAACAATGAGCACACCAGGATGATATGATGCAGCTGAGTTTCAAGTGAGTTGTGGGGCGCTTTACAATGTGCAACTCAAGTAAAATTTATCACCCTATGAAATGTTTGTCTTTTTTGAATGTCTTTTGTGGGCATATCAGTATTTAATTTTCAGCCAAATAGTATGTATTGATGAACAATAGAAATGTGTAATTATTTATTTTAAATTAAATAATTTATTTTAAATAATCTTAAATTTAAAATGATTTATTTTAAATATCAAAAAATAGCTGAGATGTTATTTTTCTCTTTTAAAAAGTAAGTACACCCTTGGCTGCAGTAACTGGTACTGCCCACTTTGGAAAAAAAAACCTTATATAGGGGTTTCCTTTGACTGTCTATCAGTGTCTGACATCTACTGGCAGAATTTTTTGCCCTCTCCTCCATGCACAATTCTTTCAGCTGTGCAGTGTTTGATGGGTTTCTTGCATATACAGCCCAAATCCCCCCCACAGCATTTCAAAGGGCTTCAGATCTGGGCTTTGATTTGGCCATTCCACAACCCACCATTTCTTCCTTTTGATGGATTTGATGATCCATGCCTTGGTGGATTTATTTGTATGTTTGGGATCATTATCCTGTTCGAAGGTCTTCTTCTCCAGCTTCAACTTTTTCACAGATGGTCTCACATTTTCCTCAAGCACTCTCTCTGAAAAAGAGGTTTTTGGCTTATATTTGCTGGGGGGACCTTGTCTGGACATGTTGGTAGGGGTTTTAAATCTTCTCCGCTTGTATAGAATGGTGGAATGGTTGATTTCCTATATTTTGGATATCTTCTTAAACCCCTTCTCAGACTCATAGGCATCTACTACCCACATCTCAAATGCAAAGAGCAAACCACAACAGATATCTGAGGTTTAAATAAGACAAGCTCTTCCAAGATATTCTCTAACAACAGTCTAATCAATAGCACCTGATCGGGTGCACCTGATTTCATGTGACATGCACCTGATTTTCATCTGACATGTTTGAAGTAGTGATATAAGTAGGGGTGTACCTACTTTTTCCACATAAATTGCATTACCATTTATTTCAATTATATAAAGGGTGTCAAAAATGTGAAATGTTAACTTAGGTCACAATTATTAACATCAAAATGAAGATATGTGTATCTTCAAAATATTGGAAAAACCTCTAAACTATATATATATATATATATATATATATATATATATATATATATATATATATATATATATATATGTAAGGAGGTGAGGTGAAGGGATCTTTGCCTGGATTAGCGCTGTGTTTCTGCAGAGATGGTGGACAGAACACTGACGCGCTCTCTCCGACTCGTGCAGCAGGCCAACAGTTTACACCATCCCACTCCACCGGACAATCTGAGAAACACCAGCATATGGGCCTCAGGAGAGTCAGCCATGACTTCTGCATTTGCTTCATACATAATTAACATGCATAGGTTATTCCACTCACAGAGGGCCTGAGCTCCGCATAGTTATGAATAATTATGAACAATGTTATTTTGGAAATCCATTTTTTTTATTTACTCTTTTGCTATTGGAAACTATTCATAATCAGAATCACTTTATTTCGTCAAGTATGTTACACATACACATATTTACTACTATGCTCAGCGGAATGACACAGTTATTGTGAAAAAAAAACAATAACTGCACGTGTAGAACGATTCTCCGGATTGTGCTCTCAGAATTAACTGAACAATAATAAAAATGTAAAAATCTTGAGAAATATTACTGGAGTAGCCTTCTATAACCTGGAAACACCACACTGCAGTTCTTTACTACCACTTACAACGACCACTATTCAGTAGTTAATCAATCTAACTAACCAACTAAATGTAATTAACTAAGCTATTTGGAAAGTGCAGAACTGAGACTGGGGTGAATCTGTTTATTCCCTGCCAGTCTATTGTTGGCCTGTCTAAAGCCAGTGCTGCATTGGCGGGTACCTGTGCTTTGGCTCGCTTTGGAAGGAGGTTGTGATGAGCCTTCCTGCATCCGAACCTGACACTCAGCCTTTCTCTCGTGTAAGTGCAGCACGATTGAACACTCAGGGTGAGTGAGTCGCACCTAAAATCACCCACAAAGACACACAAGCATCAGCATGCAGCTAAAAAACATGCACAATATGACCTTACAGTCAAACGGCAGGTATAAACTTACTCCACTCAGTGCACACAACAGGATCCAGAAGACAGCGTTATGACGCAGATCCATCCTAATGCTCTTAATGACGGGACGTCCAAGGCCAGGATTTGGAATCATCGGGAGCGCGGCATCAGATCCAGCCTCGTACTGCCTTCGCGTCTCTATTTGCGCTCTCTCTATTTTCTTTCAGCGCATGGTGAAGGGAGTCCCTGGTGGTATACCCCACTTTCCTGTCTGTTTTGCTTCTCTAACAACCAGAGGACCACTATTTAATTCATATTTCAATCCAAGTTTCTAACTTGAAAATAAAGTTTTTATAAGCCATTAAAATACTAAACAACAGCATTCTGTGGTCTATAGTGGCACCTGGCTCATAGGAAACTTTAGTGTCTGATGCTGGGACCAATTTTATGAGCTAAAAGTTCTGATAACTCTGATATAATTTGATTTTTATATTGTCGACTTTATTTTCATAGTGTAATTTTTAAAATGGTGCTGTACCAGAGAACTTGTACAGACGAGAACTGCCACTCTGTAATGTCTCCCGGGTTTCTCAAACACTAGAGGGCGCTCCCGAGAGAGTCCGAAATGAATGGGTTAAGATAGAGCATTTGAGCAAAATCATAGTTTAGAAATGCTCAAACATTTTAAATATATAAGAATACAATCGGTTCCTGAACACAGATCAGCATAAAACATTTGAACACCGCTGTTATATTTTTAAGAGCTTTTAATCTCGAGTTATAGGAGTTTAAAAAGGCGACTCTTGTACATCCATGATGTCAGTGAGCGCAACGGGCCAATGAGCTGTTCCGCTCGCCAGCCAATCAGCAGTCAGTAGCAGTAAAGCCCGCCTTCTGCTGCCCAAAACCCGTTTGCTGTAGAAAAAAGGAAACATACAGATGAGTTTTCTTTGCTTTTTTAGTGAAATCCATCCTTCTACTTTCTAAAATTAAAGGAAAGTTCTGGTTCAGTGATTAGAAGCTATTTTAACTTTTCATTTTAGCAGTTCAGCTCCGCTCACCCCCATTAATTTAGGACTCGCTCGCAGGCGCTCTCTGCAGTCCTGTTTTTGATGTAATGGGGGAAATAGGAAGAGGCCAGTCTTCTAATTAAACAGCTCTGGCTTTACTGACTGATATGAACACATGGTGGGAGTCGGGGGGGTGGAGCTACCCATAATTTTTTGTGGTTTTGATTTCTGCTAATAGCTTCTTATTTTTCACCAACTCTTCATGTTATAACGTATTAGTCTCTTGGTAGGTTTGATTTGAATACATTTTACATTTTTGTAACCCATATCATGATCTGCAATTGAATATACAGATTACAAATTGAATCATAGATTTTAGCATTATTTTATTATTCTAACCATGATAATATTTTGTGTTCAAATTTACCAGTTCAGCCTGTCTTACTGTCATCTACAGTAATGTGCCAAAGCCAAAGGCCCTTCATTTATTTAATTTTTGGTCAAAACGCCCATTAAGTACAAGTTATTCATTTTTTAGGAGATGTATCCGAGGAGATTAGACATAAGATAATCTAATTGAATAAGGAAAGGAAAATAAGTGAAACAAATGGGAGTTTTCAAGATACAGAGAAAATGGGGCTCCTGACAACCACCTGGAAGACCCTGGTAGACCCCAAAACTGCCCCCATCAGATAAACAGCACTTAAAGCTTTCATCTCTGAGAGAGAGGAGAAAATCAAGCTGCTTCAGATCTGAAAACATCCACAGGTGTTTCTGTCCATCCTTCCACTGTGAGAAGACGACTCAGCGCTGTGGGTCTGAAAGGATGTGTAGCTGTCAAGAAGAACCTCACTGAGAAAAGGAGACGGACACATCAAACAAAGAAGCTGAACAATGGACTGACCACCCCAGAGTCCAGACCTCAACACCACTGAATGTGTTTGATTACTGCAGAAAATGATCAACCAGCTTCTAAGACTGAACTTTGGAGGTGTGTCTGCAGATTCTCTGAGAAGCTGGAAGTGAGTTTCCTGAAAAGAATGGAAGCTGGATTAAAGGGAGAGAGTGGACACACTAAATAACAATGAAAGAAATGATATTATGTGTATTATTTAGTCATTTTCAGTTAAATATATATTTGATGATATGTATACAATATATAAAACTGTGGGTCTAATATCAGACAGCCAATATATCGGTCGGGCTCCAAAGTGCAAGAAAAGTCTAAAGTGCAGAAAACAGGCTTATTTCTCTGTGTGCTTCAACTGTGGGAGGACAGCAGTTCTTCCTTTTCCCTGTTTTGGTCCTCTATGGACTCTAAATGCGCCTTTCACGTTACTGCGCTCAATACAATAAACAGCCAGTACAGCTTGAGTGAACTCACACATCTTTTCCCAGACATAAAAGGCCGAGATCCCCCAAAACGGTATGCAAATGTCTTTTTCAAAACAAAGATTTGATTGTCTCTAAACTCTCTTTAACAATTTTTGCAGCTGAAAAAACACAAAAAGATGCGAATGTTGTTAATTGTTTGCAATGCACAGCACACATACGATGAAACTAACAGCTCAGTCCATTCATTTTTAAAGCGAGTCCTCCCCCATGAGGAGCCAAAGTAGTGCTGACAGAAGGCAGGTATTCGTCAGCAGAGTCCCTTCCTTGTGTACTCATGCAATATTGAGATAGGAGCTCTGTGAGAGAGGTGAGAAAAGAAGAATATGTTTCAGCCTCAGCGTCACTGTTAGGAGCAGGGTTGGTATAAATGTATTGGTCTTATTTGGATAAAGTTGGAGATTAACCTCGTAGAAAAGCCATAGCTATAGTGAAGGTGCAACACTTCAGCGCCCCCTAGTCTATCTGCACTGATGCATGCATTAATAAGAGTTATATTTACAATTTGCTGTACAATATTTTGAGTGATCTTTCTCAACCGTGCACTGTTTAGGGTTTTCCCAGCCCCCAACACACCTGATCCAACTAATCAGATCATTATTGAGGTAAAGTGGCTGCGTTAAAGCAGGAAAAGCACTAACATGCGCAGGACAGTGGGCCTCCAGGACCAGGACTGAGAAACACTGAGTGTGTTTACATGCACTCAATAATCCAATCATAATCAGATTTCTGCAGTTATCTGATTATTCAGATGGTCATGTAAACAGCACACTCTGGTTTCTTAGGTCGGAGTAAGGTCTAGAAATCTGATTAAGAAATCCGATAAATTTTGGATTTTAGCCCAGTAATCAGATTTCTCAGTACATGTGAACTCTTACTCTGATTTCTTTCGGGATTTCTCAGTCTGTGCATGTGTGAAAACAGCAGTACCGGAAATAAGCAAGCAGTGTTGCCGCGAGATGCAGTGAAACACTTTTGGAGCGACACTGAAACCAAATACATGCTTGATGAAATAAAAGATTGAACTTTTCTTCATGTTCTAGACGAGGAATGTTCATCTTTCCTGGTAAAGTGGCACGGTGTGTTTTTCTTTTTTTTTAAAAAAAGCTGCTTCATGAAGTTCATGAGTTTTACATTACGCTTACATCACGTCTCTGTAAGTTTATTGGCTGGTTGCAAAGCAGAAATCTGATTACTGTCTGATTCATGTAGACCCAGAGTTTCCCCCCATTATTTCCCATTAAGTGCATGTAAATGTGTTGATCTGATTACTGACAAAATCTGATTTTCTGCAGTATTAAGCGCATATAATCACACTCACTGTTTTAGACCACTCAAAAAGGCATTCTGGTGTAACGACAGTAGTTGACGCTGTCAAAAGTTGACGTGGGATTCTCGTAGGGTCGTCTTCTCACATGTGGAAATGTAAATAAAGTCATCACCTTATAGCTACGCCTCCATGTTTAGCCTAATAACCTGGTATTTGAGTCAGCATTTAGCAGGTATAAAAGACAAAACGTCCTGTGTAAAATGTACCTAATAAACTGACAGTTCAGTGCCTTCTCGTTACTATGAAACAGAGTGCCTTAGCATGCCACAAGCATGACTGAGACGTCTGAAGTAGCTTAGCTTGGCTAGGCTAACCATGACAGCTAAAGTTAGAAATTTCTTGTTCTCAGTGTTGCCTTCCCTTCTGAGAAAAACAGTGTATCCATGCCGGTCTAAGATGGTCAGGGCTGGTTTATGCTGGCCTGGTGCTGATTTAGCTGGTCATGCTGGTTGACCAAAACACCAAAACACATCACGTGCTGGTTTTGCTTTTGGTTTTGCTGGCTTTTCTAACAGAAAACCACATGGTTAAGCTAAACTATTATCTCTAGCATTAGCTCAGATAACTGAGGCAGTTTGTTCATGAATGTACAGCCCTGTTGGACAGATGACTGAAAAAGTAGCATTATAGCAGTTTTCAGACCAAAAAATGATTTTTAATGGTTGCCATTCAGGATAAAAACAGTCCTAAAAGACATGAATCAAGTTTCTGGTTCCATGTGAGCTAGCTACATTCTTTCCACAGGATAACGTCTTCCTCTCCAGCCTAAAGGTACCGTGTTTAGCCACGCCATCAAGGCCAGCGTCAAGTTTTTATGCAAGTTTAGTTGTATGTACGATGCATGTGCGCCACCTTCTTTGCACGTTGTTTTATTTTTAAAGCGTCGACTTCTGACAGCATCAACTGTTTTCATTACATGGGCCTAAAACTAGTCTTTAACAGGTGCGTCGCTAGGCCAGTTTTAGACCCTCCTAAATATTATTTAGCTCCCTCTCAAAATAAATGCACATTATTAGTTTAGATCATCAGCAGGTTTTTCACTCTTTCTAAATCATTCAACTGTGCCATCGTATCGGCGCCACCACTGATGCTCTAATCCAGCACTGCCTCAGCTGAGCCATCAGAGATTGTCTAATATAACAGGAGAGGATGGTGACCTTCTGCTGTTTAGCATTGTGGAAAAGTCTAACATCCAGCTCAGCCAATCATATCAGACCTCTTAAACTGTAAGCCAATCATATTCGACCTGAGGGAGGGGCCCTGGTGCTGCTCACTCTCAAAAGTAATGTCATTCAGTAAATACTGAAGTTGTGACAGGATTTTGGCGCACAATCAATATATATTGTATGCATAGCGAATCAGTAAGTAGTTACAGAGTGAAGATACCTACAACATGGATTTGTGGCAAATTATGGTTAATAT